ACCACCACCCCGTTCTCTTCTTTTATTTTTCACCACACAACCAATATTATATCGCGGATATCACTATAAACGACAATCAACCAACGCACCACTATCAATCACCACCAGGCACTTCTCTAATCCGCGATGAAATTCGTGAGATTCCCTTTCCCCTTTCTTCCCTTCCCTTCCCTTCCCTATCACGTTTTTCCCACCGTTGATTTCAAAATCACCAGTCAAACACTCAACGCCGAGCAGCAGCGGCGACAACTGCTCGCAGGTCCGTGAAAAACAACAAACGGAAAAAAACGTACAATTCTCGTCTCGATCTCAGCTGCTACTCTCCCGCTTTGTCCCGCTTTGTCGAATCGAGAAAAAACGACGAAAAATCAACGAAGACGGATAGTTTCCTTTCCTCGACCGACACTCACTGGCCGAGCACGCGTTCTTAATCGCATCGTCCTATCGCGCGCTCTCTCTTCGTTTACCGACATTCGGAGAATGTCCTTTTACCCGAGAATCGCGTCACGTCACCGATAAACACAAGATCACTGTGTCGCGAACGAAAAAACAAAAATATCCCCAGCGGAGTATTAAGTACACTGCTTTCTTTCTCTCTGGGTCTTCTTCTTGGCACTTCTTAACGACGACACACGGCTCTTCTTATCGACCGAGCAGCTCCGTCACCGTCGTTTCCTTTTCGCCCTCAAACATCGGGCTTGCCTCACTTTTCGACACGTCCGCCACTTTTTCGCTCGCACACGTCCACACTCGATATTCGCTGCTCCTTCTTCTCTATCGTTCACCGTGTGCGTGATCTACCGGCGAAGAATAGAAATCCTAGGGGCGTTCCTGTTTTTTTTAACTGCTACTGTGTGTTGTCACTGGCCGGGAACGGGGCGATCCGTTCTTCGCTTACTCTCCAAACGTGCAATCTCCTATAAATATTCAATGACGAGCGACTCTCTCGCGCGCGCAAAGACACCATCAACGAGAAAACGTTTCACGTGCGAGAAGAACGCCTGAGAATTATTATTTCTTTCAGGAATCGTTTCGCCGCGATTGAACTGTCGACGACTCGTTCGTCCTTCTCGACGAGCTTCCCTCGAACCTTGACTGCTTCTGCAGATCTTCGTAATCTCGCCGATCCTGTTAACGGAGAAGAAAATAATCGTTGAAGAAAGTCGATCGAAACGATTTACTTCGTTATTGTAAATAATAAATCTACGAAAGGGGAAAAGATAATTGCGCAATTTACTGACTTTTTCTTTATTCCACTCTCTTTGGAAGGAGCTCGATGAAACGAATGAAATCACGTTCTTTTTGTTTTAAAATCAAAGAGAATATAATTATTTGGTTTCATTCGCTTAGTAATCAAAATTCGGCAAGAATTTACTTGAAAAATTGTTAGTTCAAGCTTGAATTATCTTGGCTCAACTTTTTCGATGAATTTTAAATACCACGTGAATTAAATCGAAATGATATCGAAGTTAAGTGGACAAAGTTAGAAAAATATCACTAAACTGTGCAATTGTCATCTGAAATACTTCAAAAGAAAGCAATTGTCATCTAAAATATTTTAACAGAAACTTTTGAGGTCACGTTTATAAGTTGCCCAATATTTTATCCAAGATTCAATTAAGTGGTACAAGCAAAGCAGAAAGTGAAACCGATACAATAAAACGTAGATATAGACACTTGTGAAACTCCGGCGTCGTAACAGTTTCAATAAACTATCCATTTCTTGCTAATAAGATAATTTGGATAACTTTTTCTCGAATATACTAAAAAATGATAATTTTTAAATTACCACTTAATAATGAATCATTACGAATCACAAAATCTGACAATCATACGTAGTTAACCTCTTTTTACACAAATTGTCGTCGCGCCAATTTATTACATGTTGTCAAATAACGAGCACATTAATTTCAATTAGGACATCGTTTTCTTTTTCTTTTGTCNTTTTTTCTTTTTTTTTTTTTTTTTTTTTTGTGAACCGAAAAACGCTTATTGCTGTATCACAATCTCACGCATCACATGGCGTCGCACTTGACAACGCACTACTAATACAATGGTCTGTATATGCGCATGTCCACACCCCATTCTGCTTCCGAACATATGTAGACCGAGGCACGTTTGGGAAAAGTTGATCGATATTGTCGTCGACGCTTACGTTCTCTCTACCCACGGGCACTACTTTTTTCCCCCGTGAAATTTCAAGATTCGTCGACCGACTTGACAGCTCGAAACAAGTACGAGAGAATGCATTTTGGACAATATTTTTTACGCGATGTAATTATAAATTATCTTCAAAATTAAGCCAACTTGCATTCGAAATTGGTAACAAGCTTCGTGTAAATGTCAAATTTATTACGTCGATTCACTATTGCAAAACTTTAAATTAAATTTAATCCTCTCACAGACGATGAAAATTAGTTTTCAAAGTGTTCTCAATTTTAACGCGCACTGTCACGTATCATACGTACTACATGGAAAATCGTTAATTTAATAAAATATATCCAATATGGCACTACTTCTACTTGCGAGAGATGGTACAATTACCAAAATAAACGTATGTTCTATTCGACATATTTTACTGGTTTTTGAACTGAAAAATCCAGGTTACACCGACCTGGGTCAAGGAGTTATAACTTTGGAAAATGATAGAAAGTACGGAAAGGACGTAACGAAAACGCAAATGCGAATAAAGTGTAAGGCACATAACTGTCGCGTAATTCGCATAATTCGCGTAATTACCCTTACCGATGATTCCCGATATGCTAGAGAGGAAATGTTTCATCTCACTTGGGGAATATAGAAAGCTCGTCGCGGAGCGCAACCGAAAGCGCGAGGAAATATGTGCGCGCCAGACGGCGCGTACAGCGAAGCGCGACGAACTTGACTCTCAAAGCAGTGGACCGTCCGACAAGTTAATAAAAACGGAACGTAGAGACCCCACTTTCTTATTATCGCGCGAACAAGGTACACTAGCGATCGTGTCACGCGTACACACTCCTATGCTCGCGATAAGTGTTTCACGCAACAGCGAGAAAATGAAAGACGGGCTTCGACAAGAGATAACGTACGAAAATTATATTACACTCACTGACTCTGGGCTCGACTGGAATAAAACTTGTTTTGTCCATTGAAGTTGGTCGCTCCAGCGCGAACTTCTCGTTTTGGTTACACGCGTTACACTCAACCAACCGGACGACGAGGACGTACTAAATGAAATTTCTTATCTTTTTTCCGCTTCGTGTCGTTCGTCATTTCCGAAAGAAGACTTTTCCTCTCTTCGTTCCGCGTTTGCTAGACGTTTTCTTCCACTCTGAAAGTTCACGCAGGTTCCGAGCACAGTTTTCCGTAGAAAAACACAACGGGGCGCCACGAGATGTAGATACTTCTCTCTCGCTCTTACTAGTATTTCTTCTTCCTCCACCACCTCTTTTTCTTCTTTATTCTATTTCATAGCCTTGTCTCACACGTGTCGAAAACGCGAAATCCTTTGCAGAGAGTTCGAAAAACACGTCGTTCGAGAAAAATCGAGGCTCGAACGTACTGAACAGAGAAAGAAAGATCGCGCCTCTTACAGTCTCGTCTTTTCTTCACTCAAAATATATATGCGTAATATTTTATAAAGGCGAAAGGCTTGCACAAGCCCATATAGACGTATGCGAGTGTGAATTGTCCTCTGTGTATACGTCTTACGCCTCACCCCTTTTCTCTAATACCGTTCTCTTTCTACGCAACATATATGTGTATAGGCACATATATATATATATCTCCCTTTTTCTTTCTTATCTCTTGGTTTCCGTTCTTTCTCCTCCGTCTTTCGCGATCTCACACACTATTTCCCTTTGCTTCGTTCTTTCTATCAGTATAGCCGTGTGCACGGCCCTATATGTGTGTACGTAGTATACCGTGCGCAGCTACGTAGACCATCCGTGTATACGAATACGAGTGGCAGGCGCGCGCGCCTGTGTTGCATTCGTGTGTGCACTTGATTAGCCGTGTGACGTCAGGCCGCGATTACATCGCTCGCGATTGTCACTCAAATCGACGAATAAAACCACAGAACAATTCAGGCGGGAAAGGTGGTCGAAGACACGCGGACGAACCTCGGACCGCGAAACGACGGACGATCCGTCGCGCAACGGCTAAAGGCGGCGGCGAGCCTTCGCGCAAACCACCCGCGGTATTCGTGAAACGACTGGCTCCATGCAACGATTGTAGTCGTACAGAGAGACGAGACGAGAGATGTTCCGCTAGATGGCACCACCATTTATCGCGAGGGGGCTCCGGCGGCCGTGCATACTGCGCTCCGCGTAGGTACCGCAACTCATCGAGCACTGTCGAATTCGAACGATTACTCCCGATCCAACCCGAATACTCACGATCGTGCACGAACGATTCAATATCAAGTGCACGACCCTCTCTCCGTTCCGACGAGCACATGGAACCGCGCGAATGACGCTGCGTGTCCATCAATTTTATTTATACGCTTATGTTCCTTCATCGTGTTTGATGCTGCGGTGTCTGCACCCCCCCCCCCCTCCCCACTTTCTCACATCATTTATTTTGAAAAATTTTTATACTCACCCAATTGTGAAATCACTGTTCACATAAAATAAACTTACAAATGTATATTTGCATATATGATGATTTTTATACTGATACTACAGAACTACATTTTGTTTTTAAATATTGATCCTATTTTTGAAATATTGATAATATGTACGTATAAGCGGAAGAGGATTGTATAGATCAATTTATTGCCATTAACAATATATCTGTATACAGTTATAACTTAATTGTTAACGAATTAGAAAATAGTAGTAAAAAATCTGGTATTTTTGAAAAATCCATATCACAAGCCCATTTACCATTTTCGTTACATATTTATTCTATTGCAAACATTAATATTTGGATCATCATTGGTTTTTTTCAAAAAGAAAATTAAAAAATTTAGAACAGTAAAAAATTTAAGAAATTTAGAAGATTTAAATTATTTTCAGTGATTATTTACTTACTTTTCTTTATTCATATATGTTACTAAAAATGGTAAAATGTCAGGACATTTTTCTTTTACTAACTGTTCTATATTCTGCGTGTTACTATTCAGCAATGATAAATTAGTACATGGTATCAATAGTTTGCAAACAGATATGGAGCGTGCCATAAGTGCTCTATGCAAAGCAGTATGGCCATCAACATCCCTTAAATTAGGGTTTGCATTGAATCTTAACAATAGTTCGACAATTTCCGAGTGACCTTGCATAGCTGCTCTGTGCAAAGCAGTAGCATGTCCACAACGTGTTTTTATATTCACTGCAGCATCATTTTCTAATAAAATATTACAAATTTCATAGTGTCCATTTCGAGCTGCATAATGCAACGCTGTATATCCGGCAGAATCTTCTGCATTAAGTAAAACACCTTTCTTCAATAATGTCTTTACACGATCCAAATCATTATATTGCGCTAAAAATTACATAAATATTATTAACAATAATTTAAAAAATACAGTAGTATAGTTAAGATAAAATAAATTTAATTATTTACCGGCGTACCATATACCACGTTCAAACTCCATTTCCACAAGAGACTGACTGACACCGATATTGCTATTTATACTGCAGCATGTATTACGATTATTACAGTTATGACTGTGTTCCATGTTTGCTGCAGATGTAATTACCTAGCAGTTCATCAAAAAAGAAAAAAAAAGAAAAATTGTGCTTAACAATATTTTTATCGTATGTAAATTCGAACATTACATAATTATATATGTATAAAAATAAATATTTATATTTCTAAAATTCATAGATAATTGTGAAGAAGGCACATAAAATATCACTTTTAAATCATAGCAGTCATATATTTTTCAATAAATGTTCATTGACAATATGCAAAAATGTATTTTGTTTATATAGTTTACATGTGTATAACTTTATGATATATGCGTGTCTGTATATCGAATTTGTACATGAGAATAAGGCCAGTATATAAAATCGACCTTTATGTATTATAATATTATTATAAATTTAATAGTTCCATAATTATTACTGATTTTCTTTAGCATAATACTGTACCAACAAATATAATATAACCTTATCATTTCATAAATGAATTCAACAAATAGTGAATACAATGTAAATTCTTTTGCAATATTATATAATATTAATGCTAGTTTTGATTCCGTATATTGTATAAAAATGTTCAAATATGCACAAATAAAATAACATAACATAAACATAACAATTCAATTTAATTAAAAATTAAATTGCAAATAGAAAATATAGAATGTCTCAGACATAAAGAAGACATAAACCGGATTAGTATTGCACAAAATGATAAGGTTAATATTGATACTGTATATAATAATAGCGAAAAAGATAAGCGTTGATATCCTTATTATTTTTTTAATCTCTCTTAATTTTATGAGCATATTATTTTTATGCGTTTTTATAATAATTAATAAAGTAGCTCAAAAAAAAAAAGATATTATTTGACCCAGAAAAGTATAAAAACTAGAAACTTGATTTTGTACAGTCTTGTTGTTAATTTATATAAAAATAAACTGAATACATTTTATATTTTATTCATCTCGAGATAGTAAAAATTAAATATATTTAAGTATAAAACGATGTAATTTTAATCTATTAAATGTAATATATGAAAATTTGCTAAAATTACTTGTGAAAATCTGTTGGTACAAATATACGTCAGATAAAAAATATACATTCCTAAAGCAAGTTAAAAAATATTGATAAAAATTTAATAACGAAAGTTTGTACACGAAAGTTGATACACACTATTTTATTTATCTACGTGTGTTCTTTGTATATAAATATTTTATATAATTAAATAATGCTATATTCATACTGGTTTCTTAATTTGCGTGCATATTAGGAAATGCGCACGCATACTTTAAATGTATAAGTAGTTTTTTATAAATTATAGTCCTGTTGATTTTACAATTCCCTTCGCAGTGTCCAAAATATTTCAATGTCTCCCGTGGTACCAATAACTCGATATCCTAATTCTGCCAAGGCGTTAATGACGGAAAGAGGTGGTCCTGCAATAAATTTTATTGCATAAATTAAGAGAAATATTCCATAATTGCAAAAATGTACGAATATACTACTCTCGTCTTCGACAAAAATATACCCAATATTATTTGTAAATTTAATGCACGATATTTATAAATATAATTTTTTATTATCAAATGAAAACAATTCCAGCTACTAAATATGTAATGACTAACAAAATATTCTAATTATTACTACTTTTACTATCAACTTCCAGAAACAAAATATATAATTTAAAAATCAGGATTCATTTTATCCAGAACATTTTTCATACATAAAACTTATATATTGTATTTTACATAACGATATTACAAAAAACGAAATAAAAAATATTTCAGGTAAATGAAATTTAATGAGTCATGAAAAGAATTTGTATAAAATGATCGATCGGTCACCTGTGATCATAATGCCGTTGGACACTTTTGCCTCAGACTTTGGAAAACGCTCGGAAAGAGCCAAAATTTCGTCCGAATTTAAACCAACCACAAAACTCACAGCCCCAAATGGGGAGCCTTTTAAGCCAATGTAATAGTAACTCTCATCATTTATTATGCTGGCTGATTTTCCGACGAATGTATTCCCTGATTGCGACATTGTTGAGCTAAAAGGGATTGTTAAACTTCGTTGTCTTTTACTGTCAAAAGAAAAATGTTGCTTCTAGAATGCTGTTGGGAAAAATATAAACATATTTTATAACTCCCTCATTTTCTCTTGAAAGAGAAAATCCTACTATTTAATTGCTAGATCTTATATAATATTAAGAATATTATACACAATACAAGTATGTCTAATTTCATAAATAAAAAATCAATACTTCTATTTTAATAAAAATATACTTTTATGTTTGATAATAAAAAAAGTTTACAGTAAAATCGATAAAAAAATTTTATTTAAAATAATATTAGGCAGTATGTTGTAATAAACTTACAATATTATATTTAAGCAAAAAATAGAAATTATATAACATCGTAAATTTATAATTTAATTTCTTTTTAATGTATGTAGAGGAAAAGACAAGTCATTATATATATATATATAATTTATAATATATTATAGTATAATTTTATATATATAATTTATAGTATATTATAGTATATTATAATTTTATATATATATATATAATTTATAGTAATTAAAAATTAAATTAAAAAATCCAAACAATTAGACTCAAATATATTTCTCAATATCATATAATTCGTTTAAAAATATTATATAAAAAAAAAATATGCAAAATGCATATTTTTTATAAATATTCACAATATTTTTCACAATAATATTCTTTTTATAGATATTCACAATAAGTCATATTTTAAAATGGATAATATCTTTCTCTTTTCTCTTTATCTCTATAGTTATATTTCATTAACAATAAGGTCAATCTTGAATTTTAAATATTATGTAAGTATGCAATAGTATTATTCATGACCAACAGATATAATTATTATTTTATATAATTATTATTTAGGTCTCCATTAAATTACATTTTACTCTTTGTTCATTATATTGCATCATACGAAGTTCATAAGACCAACGGGTATATTTTTCTTTGTGAAAGTCCCATTGTAATCTTTCTATTTCTAACATTTTACATTGTACTTCAAATTCTGCAAATTTTCTTGCGGCTCTTTTATGAAATAAATCATCTTCAGATATTTTATTTTGCAAGTAAGACTGAGACAATTTTGACACACTTGACTACTTGACTACTTGATTCTTTTTGATGACACACATATTCTTGAGGTGTAGTTATACAAAATTTTTAAAGTTATCTTAAAAATTTATTGTAAATAACTATTTTTAAAAACTAACTGTATAATTTAACAATAATTTCGATTGTAAATTATTTTTTTTCTAAATTATCAGATGTAGTAGTTGAAGTATCATTTTGATTTGTTTCCGCATTTCAACTGGCAAAATTTTCATCTGTGGTTTCGACTGCACTATTTTGATTTATGCAATTTTGTCCATTAATCTGCATTAATAACGTCATGTTTTGTGCTATTGCATTAAGTGTTTCAAATAAAACTTGAGCCACCCAATTATCTGGATAGCTCAAGTTTTAAATTGTTAAATTCTTCTTTCGTATTTTGATCAGCCATAATTCACTTTATGTCAAGGTTATTAGCTTTCTGTTTCTCGTTATGCGATATTGTTACGTTTAAATTGTTGCCTGACATCTTTTGGACACTTTAGGTATCTTTCCATATATCGTTTCATACAAGTAACAATTTGAATGTATGACTGATTACAAAATTTACAAAATGTAATCACTTGAGATCCCAACATCTTTTTATTATAGTAGTTCCACACAATTCCTTGTTTCTTTATTATGTCTCCTTTTTCAAGTTTCACAATATATGTTTTCAAACTGTTATATGTTTTATTTATTTTATGTTTACAAGACTTTCAATTTTTCAAATACGGAGCCAACTGAGATTTAACACAATAAAAACAAAAATTTTTTTATAGAACGTCATTTATATATTGTTATACATTTTTTTTTTATACGGAATCAAAACTAAAACCTTTAATGTTTGTATAGGAAAATGAGCACAAGTTAAAGATGAAAAAAATTGATTTACAATGTAAAGATTACATTCAAAAGTATTATTATTATTAGCGCAGCATCAAAAGTTAAATTAATTCTAATAATTTTAAAAGATATCAAAAAATACAGTTTATTTGCAACTTTTTAAACATATAAATTAAGATTATATACCTTTCAATTGTTCAAGTAATCAAACTAATTTTTTATTATCAAAAATTTGGCAAATTTGCATACATTTAGTGCATAATAAAAATCAATGCAAATTCGTAATAAAACGAGTTGTTGACTTATGCAACAACGAAAATTTTAAGCAAATATTGCATTAAGGAATATGTTCGTTACACGTTTACATACGTAAACATTGTTGCATAAAATGATCATTATTTAATAGAATATATTTGATGCCGTGGCATCAAATTAAAACGTTAGTCATTAAATACATAACCTCTGTAAGAGATATATGCGTGTTCGCCATTGTTATGAGAATGTATCGTACATTTGTAAATAATAAATATTTTGAATCCTATAATTTGTTGCGATTTATATATGTATGAATGTATATTAAAATATATATTAAAATTTTGCATAATTTAGTAAAACATTATTTCTATAGGAAATATTTTCTTTAAGCAAAATATTAAAATATCTTGTGAGTGGAAAATTTTAACAAAAAGATACAAAAATGAATACGAAAATTAGTATTCCAATGTAATCTTTAACTTGTTAACATTTTAAATCTGTACTCTTAACTGCATTTTTCTCGATGAGATTACATACAAAAAAATTTATAACATTTCATTTATAGAGTATGTAAAGTGTAAAGTTAAAAATAAAAATACGTGTTTATTTAACATTATGTATTTAAGACGTAAATGAAATTTACATAAAAACGAAAGCTATAAATTTATGCGATCATTTTGAGTACGAATTTCCAATTTTTATGAAAATAATGTTCATTAATTTTAAAATAATAAAGTATTAGGTTTTTGATGCAAAATGTATCGTATAATTATCAATAAAAATAAATTGGTTATTATAACGTAATCATACCTGTTTTGATAATAGGTTCAGGTTCAGGTTCAGAAAAATCTTTTCTCATAGTCCACATGTATTCATTATAATCTTGTTTGACACTTGTACTTGAAGATGCTACGACTTTATAACCAAGAACTTCTAAAGCAGTTAATATTACACAAGGATGTTGCAAATACACTATTGTCGAATCATCACAATATCCCCCAGAAGCAAAGCGGCTCAATTGTTCTATATCTGATGCTATAACACACGTGAATGTCATACTAGGTTTTCAACGTTATTTTGTTTCGATTTTTTACATATATAACATTTCAAAATTAAGAATTATAAAAATCATACGTCCAGCGGAATTCAATTGAAAAGCGATATGAATGATCTTGCATACAATATACGCGATAAATTATTATCATTTTATCAAGAAGTAATGTCAGCAGACGTATCGTTTTACTTAACCTATAAGATATCAATTACACTCATATCATAATTTAGATAAAATAATACAAACAAAGTCATTTTATATTTATTTATTAAATTAATGTATTAATTTTAAAAAATATTTTAATAAATTTCAAATTGTGTTTATTTCAGATTAACTAATATATTTAAATTGCATGATAAATTTAGAATTACTCAAATGATTTTATATTGTCAAATGATTTTATATTGGTTGATTTCTTTATTCAGAAAACATTTAATAAACATATTAATATAAATGACAATTGATTGATTAATTACTTTATCAATATGTAGATTTAGAAAGAAATCTATCTGTGTCTTTTCTTTATTGCAATATTTTATATTCAAAAACTAAAAATTTAATATCAATTAGCAACGTTTATTATTTAAACTGTTATTACATTAATAAATTAAATATAAGTATATTAAATATTTAAGCTTTAAGACAAAATATTATACCTTTAAGACCTGATACTAAAACTCTCCATGGATATCGGTGACCATATGATGCAAGATTTCCACGTACCAAAATGTATGGCATCTATACTATTATTCTACCACAAATTTTAATAAATATTTACATTATAAGACATACATGTATACTTAAATTATACTGATATATATAAACTTTATATTTTAACACCAGTTATTAAATTTAATAATGCATTCTTAATAAATGCATATGGTATATATGTATATATATAAATATAATGTTTCTTCCTATAAACTCAATTATTAGAATAATTATTGTAATTTATTATGTAAAAGCACGATTATTCAGTTATTAATTTAATGCAATAGAGATACTACAAATATATAAATATTACATTACAATAAAAGAAATTAAATTACTTTTTGGTAATTAAAATTGTATTAATTTACATTTTTTATACTTTTAAAATTTTTAGACACAATTACTAATTGTGTATATCTGATAGATATTGTTGACACACACATATTGCACACATATGCAATTTTCTTATTAATCATTATTTGTCAACCTTCTGTTTCAGAATTATTGTTAATAATTCTTATTAAATTAGGTGTACTCACCTGTTAATATGTACAAAATTTAATTCACCGATGCTATTTTTAATTAGAAATCTTTTTATACTTTACTATCAATTACTAAAAATGACGCGATCAAATCGATTTCTTGAGAAATAAGAGCACTGTTGAGATTTTTAGACTGGAAGGAAATGAAATTAAATGGACACATGACACAGCAATTGCAAGATACGAAAGTGCGCATATTCTAACATCCTAACTACATATAACTAGTATCAACATTTACAAATTCCAAACAGTTCGAACGACAAACATTTGGGTGGTTTTTCAATTAAGTTCACAAGTATTATTTATTATTGAATGCATTAAAACTTTGCGGTGGTTGGATAATACTTTATTCTCAAACAAAATTTTCCAATAATTTCTTCGATCAAATAATTTTGATTTTTATCATTTTTTCGCTATAAAGATTTTCATTTTATTGGCATATTATACGAATTTATCAATTAACTTATCAATCAATTTGCATAAATTACGATTAAAATAAGCAAAATAACTAAGTAACAATAATTATATTTTAATTGTTATTTTTTATAATTATATCAAAACTGTCTTTTATATAAAATTAAGATTACGATCTTGAAAAGAATATTAATTACAGAATATTATTATATTTTGTTGTCGCAATTTATAGATGTTTCCATTTATGGAATTAACTGGCGTTAAATAGGAACAAAAAACCAATCAATATCTTTGTTTCAAAGGAACTAGTATGCGGTTGGTTTATATAGATTTAATGAATTAGGTGAGCAGAATATCAATCGGTAATAGAAGTGTCATATTTCTACATTTAATATGTAAATGCGATATTAGTATGAAATTCTAAAATATGTTCCCTTAGAATAGAAAGAATATTTTGATTAATAACGTTATTCCAGTTTTAAAATGTACTAGCACTGTAGTTTTATATACGCATGTATGTATAGAGTTACTGCCATTATGGTCAAATGATATCTATCTGTATCCACCTTTCTATGGTTTAACAAAATTATATACTCGAAAACATTATAGTTACAGCTGAAGATATCATTTCTATTTCTCTTAAAAGTTAAATTGTATTATATTGAAATTAAAATTGAAGCGAATAGGCGAAGGCTAACAAGTAGAATTATTCAAAAATAGTGACAGGTGGTTTGACGTTTATTCGCCGCCATCGTTATTAGCGACAGCGATCTGCCATATTGCGCGTGATATAAAGAATTGTAATACATTTACGGTATTACGGTTGTTATCTGTACATCTAGTACGAGAATTTATTGTTTATGTAGTAATAACATTTCAACAAAATCGTTGTAAGTCGGTTTGTGGGAAAACATTCCACTGTAGTGAACTGCAAAACGGTGAGTAGACAATGCATTGTTGACATCAGAAACTTTTTTTAGCAAACAGTTGTCATCAGGAAATACAGGTTTCATCGCGCTTGTATTTATCAATGTCAAAACTGATGTTATCGTATTGTTTTACCTGATAAATTATAATTTGTCCAATATTTTCAACTAACAGCGAGATAATTGTTGTTTAAGCGATTATTATTTTGTTATTAATATTCTGTTGAAAAACATTTGAATAAACGCGTAAAAATCATTATTATATTTTTACATCGTTTTTCTCAAAAATATCCGCAATGCGTTATTTTTACTAGAATAATATATTAGGTAACACATGTAATATCTTTGTAAATTTATCACTATTAAAATGTTCATTTACACCAGCAGTTTGTAATCAAAATTTTGTTAAAAGAGGTACCTATAATTTGTTGCAACGTCAAATATATTGATGTCATAATTATGTCAGATATAATATAATCTATATAATTATGTTAGTCATTCACGTGTAGTAGTAATATTATTTGTCACAATTTGTATTTTACTTATTTATATCCTTTCTATTGTACATTCTTGATCAAATTCAATAAACTTTATTATGAATATGACATTTGTCATACTTTAGTATATTTATGTATATGTCATTATATCAGTTTGGTTTCAAATTCTATTGATTTTAATGTATGTAATGTAACCTATGAATGTATACTAAATATATATAATGAAGTGTGTGCAATATAAATTGATAAATTTGTAATTATATATTTACAGATAAAAAATGTCAACTGGACCATATAATTACTCCTATATCTTCAAATACATTATTATAGGAGATATGGGAGTAGGAAAATCATGTTTACTACATCAGTTTACAGAAAAAAAATGTAAGTTGAAATAGAAATGATAGTGATTAGTCTTTATAAACAATTTAGATTTAAGTATGCATGTTGTAACTTCATTTTTATTTGTATTTAAAATTTTTTTATATTTATATCATTATAATATAAAGTAACGTAAAAACTTTTTTTTACTGAAGTTATGGCAGATTGCCCGCATACTATTGGAGTTGAATTTGGGACAAGAATTATTGAAGTTGCAGGACAAAAAATAAAATTACAAATATGGGACACTGCTGGCCAAGAACGTTTTAGGGCAGTTACTAGGTATATATTCTTTCATATTTATCAAATTGTAACATTTTTAACAAAATGGTAATATAATGTCTACATCTATGTTATAGGTCTTATTACCGAGGTGCAGCTGGAGCATTAATGGTCTATGATATAACTCGTCGTTCAACTTATAATCATCTTAGCAGCTGGCTTACAGATACAAGGAATTTAACAAATCCAAGCACTGTATGCAAAATATGATATTTTACATAATGGTATTTACGTCTGTAAAGTGTAACTACATTGATGCAGAACTGTTGAATGATGTATTTCTCATACTCTATAAATAATAGCCTAATTTCATATATATTATAAAAAATTTTATGTATTATATTTATAGGTTATATTTTTAATTGGAAATAAAAGTGACTTGGAAGGTCAACGAGATGTTACTTATGAAGAAGCAAAACAATTTGCTGATGAAAATGGTCTTATGTTTGTAGAAGCTAGTGCAAAAACGTAAGTTGATAATAGATATTTAATTTGTATTAAATTGCATTAAATCTAAATTATGTAATTAAAATGTAAATATGTAGACAGATTTTGTCTATAATAATAAAATTTATTTTTCATCAGAGGACACAATGTTGAAGAGGCCTTTTTGGAAACAGCAAAAAAAATATTCCAGAGTATACAAGATGGCCGGTTAGTAAAATTGACCTTTTTTACCTAATATATATATATATATGTCATTAGCGTGATGTTAATACGATTTAATGTGATATATTTATCTATAGTTTGGATCTAAATGCTGCCGAATCTGGAGTTCAACATAATCCAAGTCAACCAGGTCGTACTAATCTTCAAGGTGTATCTAATGAACAACAAGGTGGAAAGGATTCTTGCTCCTGTTAGGTCTTTGTTTGTATATAGACATATGAATTCATCGGTACTATTGATGCATATATGATTTATACTAAGTATAGTAAGCAAATAGTCTCCTGTCTTTATCCCTTTACCTTTTATATGTTAAATCTATTCAATGAAAAATATCAGTTTTTTTCTAGTTAGATTTAATTTCCACAAATAAAGTAAAGATCCATGATTCAGTCTACATATGCATATAAATTGTACTGATAACAATGATTCTGTATTAACATTGAAACTGATATTTCAATGTTAAAGCTTTTCTATGATTATTGTAATTTGCATATATGCAAATATTATTGCATAGATCGTATACTTTATTGCGTAAAAGATTTATTATTAGACAATATGTTGTACTCACAAATCTTATAGTACATTGTGTATAAGGTGCATTATACGAAACATTTACTTTAATCACAAGAAAATATGATAAATATGAATGTGACACAGCCAAATATTTACCATTGTAAATTAAATTTGCGTAACAAGATTAAGCACGTTTAATCGTGTTTGTTATCTAATTTACAGTTTGAAAGCTATTGTACTATAAGCTTAAGTGCAAAAGATTGTTGGTAACTAAAACTAAACTTCTCTACAGCATCAAAAGAGTTGTCATAAAATGGCATAATGAAATAGAATTAATGTCAACTCTATGTTCCATATGACTACAACCCCATTTTCATATCATGCAAAGCTAATGTAAAGCTATATGTAACTTTTATTTTTTGCTTGGAAAACATTTTAATTTCCAGATTGTTTGGAATATTCCATATTTCCAATTAGATGAAAAAAAATTTAATATATTGTTATGATTACTATTATTTAAAAATTGAAAGTCTTTTTCATAACTGTTAAAAATGAAGCATTGTGTCGATTTGTATGTACCTTAAGTCATTATTCACATTTCATGTTATATTAATTTTAAAAAAGATTGGAGAAGGTGTTACCTGTGAAATTTATTATTATTTTACACTTTTAATTGACAGCTGTATTGTATGTAGCATCAATGTTTTTTTTTTGAAATCATAAATTTATGTATCATTCCTAATTGAAATGAAGATAAAAGATTAATTTAAAAAGAATTAAATATTATGTATTGTTTTAGTTTATATATATATATCAAAACAATTATATTGGCAAAACATGTAAAATATCGTTTAAAATAAATTTGACCAAAGCTTTTAGATTCACTTAAAATAATTATTGTTCTGTTATGTGTGCATAAAATCTAATTGTAGATTAATAAAAACTAATTTAATGTACAAGATAGGAGCAGGATTTTTCTTTAATTTCGCGCGTATTATTGTTTACAACCAATTTCAACTTTAGTTATTCATCAATATATTTTTTACATCTTGTATATATGGATAATAACAAATAAATATTTATATTGCAGCTGCATCAAAATGATTAATTTCGCATCCTTAATATACAAAATTTGAAAGTTGGAAAATATATTTTATAACTTAAACGGTAAAATTATTGAGCTGTATCTACGTTACATAGAAAATATGATAGCGTATTTCACTTAATTACCTCTTTAATTTAACATGTCGTATAATCACGTATCGTATTATTATTAAACAGAGAGACATGTAAGTACATATATAATATTTCATATTACAATTTCAGTAGTGCTCTAAATTATTTTATTATAAATGATTTTTAAATATATGTTTAAAAAGTTTCTAATTTTTTTATTTACTGCGTATATATGTAAATGTATATAAATACCTTTTTTACAGAATAAGATTCTTTTAGTTTATATACTATAAAAACAGGTTTTAATTTTGCCGCGTAAATTCATTATATAAATGCATTTTTAAACATCAAATGTAAGATGTACATAAATCACTTTGACTTGCATTACACGCGTAAATTTAATGCGTAAAGTCATTAAGTATAAAAAAAGAGGAATTAAATTTTACATAAAATTGTGTAATTACATGATAAGTTAGAAATTGTTAAACAACAATGAATTATCGATATATTTATAGTACTTTTATGATTGGAATGATGTTTCGCTTAACAAGGGGGTGAGTTGTACTTTTACTAACAGTAATAATTTTTTTAAATAAAAATGGATTCTTGTTTCATTATTGAATTTAACATTATTTGTAAAATAAATATAATGAAATTATGAATAATGTTGATGTTAATTAGTGACAATAATTATCACTTATATTAACGATATAATTTTTTTATTGTATTTCTTCGTGTTTATTATAACCTATTTTAATAATTCATAAGTTCTAACGCTACTTATTAATACATATAGTTGATATGTAAAAGTAGCTTCTATTAAATAATTTTTTCAATATTATTTGAAAATAAGATTTATTCTTTGTTTTCACAATTAACTAGGCATAGAGAAATACTTTTTGATTTTACAACTGTAGAAAATCTGGATAATTGGAAAGAAATATCTGATACTGTTAGAACAGTAGGAAAATCAAAAGCTGCTTTAGTATTACAAACAACACAAGTTTTCCAACATGCTGTATTATTTACTCTATTAAATCCACAACCAAATGGTGCAGGATTTGCAGGGATACGTACAATGACTAATTTAAATTTGTCTAATTTTGAAAATATTGATATCAATTGCCGAGGTCAAGGCAATAATAGTCATTACAAAGTTGTTCTTAGACACAAGGGTCTTCATTCAAATGAAGACATAACATATGAACAATTTTTTATGGTAATCTTTAGTTACATTATTTTGAACTACTCTTGGAGTATATAATAAATTGTAATTTATATTCTAAATAACTTGATTAAATAGCATAGTTTACAATTTTCAAATAACAAAGGTTTTTGAGTATTAATTTAATACAAAAGTCATATTAAATTGCAATAGGCACCTATGTCAGATACTGATTTCTCAACTGTAACATTGCCTTTGATAAATTTTAAACCATATTATCGTGGACGTGAAGTACCCGATGCAGAACCATTAGACACGGCAATTATCACAATGTTTGGTCTACAAGTGTATGGTGGGGTTTATTTATCAATTAAACAAAAAGGTGTATCAGCATTAGAAATAGAAAATATTTCTGTATCATAATTAATGTATGAACTAAATTTATTGTATTTTGAATACTTCGTGACAGCATGTACTGTATAAGAGGTAATAAAACATACACAAATGTATCAAATTTGTAGAATTATTTAATTGTTATAGAAGTATATATTCTGACTAAATCTTATTAGTTTCTTTACAGCAATATTCATTTATAAATGTAAATCAACAAGCATATTTTAAAATGAATAACGAATGTGCTTAAATTCATTTTGAAACTGTGTTTTGAACATTGTAATATAGTCTTGCCAAACCTCAGACATGTTTTTTTAGACATAAAATTTACCAATCATTTAAGTAACTCTCTTCAAGAGTGTTATATGATTTAAGATCGTGATTGAGACTGTAACAAAAAAAAAAAAAAATACAAATATATATATATAAATACAAATATTTATTTATATTTATCTATATAAAAATATATCATTATAACAATTATTAACTTACGTTTTAAATGCATCAACAATTTCTGGTACTTTTGATGAATGACATACAATAGTTGTTTTACATTGTTTTGGATCAAACAATGGTTTTAAATACTGCGATGCTATACGACCCATATCCTCAATTGTTACTTCAGATACGCGTTGTACCATTTGTTGGGTGTAGCCATGTGGTACATTTTTGAAGTAAGATAATAGTGATTGTTGTACTAAGTCTCCTACAGTATGCTCTTTTTCAATGATTTCAAATATTAAACATGATTTTGCTGATTCAAAAAGCAATTTTTCCCATTTATTCTCAAAAATATGAATCTCCTGTAATAATGTAAAAGATGATATTTTCATTTTCATTTTGTGGATGTCACATATTTGATTAATTGCAATCCAAATATATACTTACTACAATCGATTTTGCTTCTTTATATGCTGCTACAATATTCGTGGATTTAAAAAATGATAAATATAATAGGCCTTCATTTGGCCTGGGATAAATGTAATATCCATAAGATAGACCCTGACCTCTAATGAATCTCCACATAGGGCCCTTAAAAATATTAATGTTTAAATATATAACGAAATATTTTTAGAATTATTGAATTCTTTATTTACCTCTAATTGAGTTAAATATTTTATGCAAACAAGTAAAGGAGCTAGATCTAGATTATGGTAATCATTTATACATGGGCAGCTTTGACACAAATAGGAAGATTCTATGCAACCTAATCCCGTAACGCAACCTTTAAATGGAATCTCATCTGGAGAATTTATCAATGTTGAATCAGGAATGGCTTCAAGTCTGTACAATTACATGTTTAAAAATTATATGCGAATATGTAATTTATAACTTAAATTATAAAAATAAACTAACTTGGTCTTGCTTGATGTATCAAATGTAGAAAAGTAAGTGTTCCATGGACTATAAACATTTGGTACTTGAGCAGTTAATTTATCTACATTAGTTGCCATATACAATACCATATTTTTAGGCGTTGTTAATACTTCTCTAACAGATTCAATTTCTGAGATAATTTCTTTTTGTCCTGTTTCATCATTTAAACGTTCTAAAATGTTATTAAGAAATTTTTGTTGTCGCAATATACTAGATACGAATTGGTTACTTTCTAAAAATAAAAAAATATAAACATTATTTATAATCGTACGTATATGCATGCATGTGTACACGTAATTTTATATATCTGTTTACCCTTTTTATATATTAATCCTTGCATCAAATCGTTCACAACTTTATTCCCTTGTCTTTTAAATTGAGCGACATCGTTTACTATTTTTGTAGCTGTTATTTTTAATCTATCTGGAGTTAATTTAGTTTCATACAAAAGTTCTTTAATCCATTGTACACCTTTTTCATACTTTTCCATTTCAAGCTACAAAAAGACAATTATTTGGGATCATCAAATAATTATTAAACGAACATTAACATAAATAAACATTAACATTACATGAAGCATTAACAAAGCAGTATAGCTGTATGGCCCACATGAAAACCTTAAAGAACTAGTTACTCCAAGGCTAGTATCATTGGATATAGTATCTGCTTCTAACTCAGCTACAATTTCTTCGTATGGAATGAGTTGATTATTCCTCATTACTGGACATTCCATTAATAATTCCAGTAATAATGGAATATAAGGTTTATATTCTTTTTTAACATCTGCAGTATTCATAATAACAAACATCTATGAAAAAAATACATAATTAGTCAAATGATGTCTTAAATACAAATAAACAATAAATAATAAATACATACATAAACAAAATTTGTATTAACATGATCCAAGTATGTATAAAACGGTAACTTGGATATGTCAAATCTGGAGTGTTGTTTATTGGTTTCTGTTGTATAACTTTTTATATAGTGGAAGTTGATATGTTGAGTAGATGGGATAGGAACAGAACTTAATATTTCATCTGGTACTGGTATCTAAAAATGTTAAAATACATAAAATGTTAAAAAATATATTATATCTGATATATATACACGAATGTAAACTTACGTACATCATTTTTAGCAATTGCTTCTTGCAGCTCTTTTTCTTTCTGTTGGAGTCCCTCTTTACCTAAATTTTTAATTTGTTTAACCACACGATTTTTTTCTTTTTCAGTTAATTCATGTCTTTTTTTTAGACTAGGAATTCCTTTAACTAAAACAAATGGAGAATCAAGAAAATATGTTTTTAACAAATTTAGCCAATAAGATTCAGGTTCAGTTTCAAATTTTTTAAGAGTTTGTATCTGATTGGTCCTCTGATCCAACTAAAATTTCAAAAATAAATGTATGATTATTACAAGGACTTTAAGTAGTAAAATTTCGTAATACAAGCACTTACATCTTCTTTAGTGTTACCATAAAGCGCATATCCAAAAAGCATGTGTGCAATTGTATCATGAGGCTCGTTTTCCAAACTACTCAAAACTTCAAGGATGCGTCTATGAACAACTGTCCTTATTCGTTTCATGTCAATACCTTTTTTATATACATCATTTAATACTTTTAACAGCTGATATTGCACCAAAGGAATTTTTGATTTTGGTACACTTTCAAATGCGAGATATAATACAGATACTGTATATTTACAATAAGAATAGCCAACATTACTAGCATATGCATCATCAATTTCAACAAATTCTTTCTGCACTGGACTAACTGATGTATCTGTAAGATATTTTAAAAGTAATGTACAACCAATGAGATCATACATTTCGGTAGTAGGAGACGGTCCCCGCCAGCCAACATCTACTATTCCATTATCTTCATCATCACAAGGATAATACACATCCAAATCTACACTTTGAGTGAAAGCTGGTACAGAATCCTGCCACGGTTTTTTAAAGAAACCTCTATTTCCCTACAACATTTGTTTAATTCTAATCATGTTGTTGGAAATAGTGAAGAATTAAAATACAAACAATTATATATACTTTTGATATTATTTTTTTTTCTATAATTTGTAATGCCTTAAACACATCAGCGTGTTTCACTTGGCCAGTAATTACTATTGTTAAATTCTCTGGCCTATAAAATTCCTGATGATATTGTCTCACTTTTTCGTTAGTAGTACTTTCTCTTAAATTTTTCAGTGCTCCTATAAAAAAGATGATTTTCTTATAAAAATAGTAATACATAAAATAACTTATGTATATTTTTTTAGAAAATTTTATATATATTTTTTACCTCCAACAATAGACTTATAACCACAGCGCCCAGGGAATATTGCTCTAGATAATTCTACATATACCAAATATTCTCCTATATTTTCTTTTCCTTGCATTTCACAGTAGACTACACCTGCATCTTCACCTTCAGCATTAATGTGATGTACTTCGGTAAGAAAACTTGCATCCTTAATGAACAATTTTATACTTAATTTTATTGTCGAAAACATCTTACGTTATGATTTATTAATTAAGTAATAATAATAAATTAAATTAAATAATCATAAATATTTTGTACCGTGAGCATTGGATAGAATATATGGTTTAGATATATAGGCATTAAAGATAAAAATCCTTCACTTCCAGCAGTTGTCATGGTATAAAAGGTACAATCAATTTGTGTTGCTGCATTGGTACCAGATGCCAAACATCTATTAGCCAATAAATCCAAAACACCTTTGTATGGATAATCCTCACTGCCCAAGAAAATAAGATGTTCTAGTGTGTGAGGTAGTCCGTCATCATCATGCGCTTCAGTAGCTAAATTTATAAGAATGATATTTTTATGTGTATAAGATAGTAAACTAAGTAAACATCATGTTTAAAAAAAAAAAACACAAGAAATATAAAAACAAATTACCGAGACAGAAGTAACCATTTACAACAGGCCCTTCAACGTCCGCTATACAAACCGTAATTCCAGTATCTCTAGATTTGTAAATATGTACCGGTATCGTATCATTCGCTTTTATCGAATATATAAAATCAAACGCTCCCATGTTTTCTGTTGGTGAATTGTCTACCGGCGCCATGTTATATTACATTAAATTTCTACTAACTTTAAAACTTCTTGAAAAGCAACACCAATACGTAAACTATTTATATTTGAAAAAATTTACAGCCGATTACCGGAAACAATCGACAAATTATTGAAATTATCAAGAGAGCATCAAAAATCAAAGATATATATTTCAGGGAATGCTCTATTGTAAAGTACTTTTTAATTTTAATAAATTTCAGAGTATGTATCAAATATTTGAAAGTTTTACTTATAAGTATCGGACGCTTTGTTTAATAAATATTGATAGAGGGCATTGCACAGATTAGATAGATCAGAGGGCATTGAAATAATATTACAGTATAAATGGGTATATATGGTATTTAAATGTTTAATGCATGTAAAATTATTAACACTAACTGTTAATAGAATCTTCAGTGTTTTTTTTATAAGAAATTGAATAACTTAATTTACCCAAAAAGTTACTGTCTAAATGATATTTATTAAATTCGTTATAAGCCCTTTAATAATAAATTATTTATAATCCATGTGCCTTTAAATTTATACGTATAGATAGCGCTATCGTATTATCTGTGCAGCAGTGATATTAAGCTTAACCTAAATGGGAAGTAGGCGAAGAACTAACTGACAGTCATGGCAAGATACTCTAGTGAATCAGATTCGGATCATAGTAACAGATATCGTCGGAGGCGTAGTAGGAGATCTAGGTAAATAATTTCGATTTCATTTTATTTTTATGTAATTTTATGCGTCTTATTTTATTACAATTTTATGCTTAACATCATCATTTCCATTCATGCATTTCAATTTCAGATCATCCAGCTCAGATTCTAGTGATTCATCTCCCCATAGACGAAGATCTTCCAGACATTCAAAAACAAAGCGTAGGCATCGCTCGCATTCGAGAAGCAGAGGGAGGGATAGAGATCAAAGCCAAAAAAGTTACAAAAGCTCTAGAAACAGTAATTCAAAAGGGAGAGAGAGACATAGATATCATTCCAGATCACGCTCCTCGGATTGTTCCAAGAGAAAAGCTAGATCAACTTCAAGAGAAAAGTCTGGAAGTCGTTCAAGTAGTTCACAATCTAATGTAAAAACTATTGTGTCAGAGAAAACCAAAAATATTCTAATAAAAGGTATATATACACGTTATTTTGAAATAGAGACAGTATCGATTGTAAAGGCAACATTAGTGTTATTTTAAAATAACTATATTAATTTAATATGATTATTATTTTTAGATGACTTTCCAATTGAACCTCGTTTTAAAGAAGGAGTGTTAGAAGAAATCAATTCTGAAGGTTTTACACCTAAACAGTTTTCATCTAATACGAAGGAAAAGAAGTTTAAGAACATTGTTATAGATATTAATGCGGATACTATACAAGTTCCAGCAGTGGCTGAAGTTCCTTCTAGTTCCGAAAGTATATTTCATTCGTCGGTAATATATTTTTTTCCTTTTCTATAAAAATTTCAGCGAAATTCTACTTGTAAAATTTCAACTTCTTGTGTTTCCTTCATTTTAGATAATGATCGACCAAGAAGCCAGATTTGATAAATGGGTGAAAAAATTGTACACACTTAGGCAAAAAGCGATAACTGATTTGATACATTCAAATGTTACTTGATAATTGAATAATTTAATTTTGCTAAAATTTATTAAAATATACTTTGTATTTGAGTGTATAAAATGAATTTTAAGAGCGATTAAAATATTTTATAATTTTTGCTATTTATGATTATGCATTCAGTTCATTCTGAATTGTATGAATACTTGAGTTTGTTGATTCAATAGCGCTATTAAATATGATGGAACAGAGATCCCAATAATTATATTTATAATATTTTCTTTGCATATTAATAAAAAACGTTTAATGTACTACAACTTATGGTATAGTATTTCTTATCTATATAATTTAAACAAAATTTTTGTAAAATCATTTTTATTTATTTTCGAAGAAAATATTCGACTTACGTAATACCGAGGTTTACGTTTGCACGATGGTATTACTGATTCGTTAGATTTAAAGTGTTTGTCATATTCTCGACGTGTCACGTTTTGTCTTGTATTGTGAACGTGATCTGTATTTTACGAATGAAATATACTACTTTGTGTGAAATTACAGGTATTTAACAAATAATTGTTTGAAATAGCATTCGTTACTTGTTTCGCGGTTATGAGTATTTTTTTCTTCCTTGTTCTTTTCATTATTGACATATCTAGGAATTTGATTTACAAATATGAAAAGAGCGAGTTATACATAAGCATCCAAGACGATAATTATATTACAAACAAGCGGTTCATTAATATGTATGATTATATGTTATCATTTCGCGTACATATTTTCCTTTTTTAATCATTCATTCATTTAATATTAATAATTATACACCTATACCATAAATTGTAGAATACCGTTTACATAGCATGAAAGGTGTAAGTGAAAGACTGAACACATTATGGCCTACCGCAATTTTTATTTATGCGGACGTTCGTTTCTACAACTACATTTTAAACATTGTTAAAATATATATATGTATAGTATGATAAATAGTAATAAATACAAAATATATCTTAACAAACGTTAAAAATTAGTATACATCTGGTGATGGTTATAAATCGTACATAAATCATCGAATGTTAAAGGAAGTATAGTTATTTCGAATGTTCTTTTCAAGAACATGTATAAAGACACGAGTGGTACACAATATATATATATATTGAAAGAGGAATTGATTAAAAAGATAATAACACTGCGTTTGCTAAGTTAATTAAACGATATCGTTAATTATTGCAACGTATATTCCGTCAGTTTATATCAAAAGGTTGCATGCACATTAATAGCTAACAATATCGTTTATATCTAAGGATTAACTTTGAGGTCTTTATGTTTATCCTACGAATAGTTATTTCTCTTTTATACTAGAAAGGATACTACGTCTGAAACAAACGAAGCATTGCAACATGAAAACTCGTAATCAATGTTAAACGAGCGATCGTTTCTTTTCACTCTGTCAGCGTTCAGTTGAAAATGTTCTAGAACGATTCAGAAACAGAATAGACATCGACACAGAGATTCGATCTTGCTAAAATTCCCATTGTTCGCAGTTACAGCCGCGTTGTTACTGTTCCAGACAGAAACTATCCTATGCGTTATGATAAACGTTGCCCTATGTATTCCCTTTCTGTAATACGCGCGATATATATTACTACACCTAGATGAGTATTTAGTACTGATATCCTCCGTTAGCCGCGGCGTCGCCACCACTTCCGGATGGATATCCTCCATTACCGTTGCCACCATTGTTTCCGTTTCTGTAACCCCCATTGTCACCACCTGGTCTTCCAGATGGATATCCTCCTAAGAATTCAAATATTACGTATATCTAGCCAGTATTCGCACAAAAATTTATTGAGAAACGATATCAAAAATTTTATGCCTTTGATACGATGGTACATGTATCGTCGTTATTAAAGTCGTTAAATTCGCAATACTGAAATATTGAATTAGATACGAAAATAATTTCAACAAAAAACCAGCGTCTTCTTACTACTAATTAATTAAACTAATACTTGTGGATATTCGTTTTGTTTACCATCGCTGAAGTCAGGTCCTCCGCCTGGTCTTCCTGACGGATAACCATTGCCTCCAGCACCACCCCCGTTGGGTCCACCACTTGGGTATCCATTATCTCCACCATTGCCTCCTGGTCCGCCAGAACCGTATCCTTGATTATTCGCTTCACCTTCGTATCTAATTTGAGGTTTGAATCCATCTTGATCGGCCTCGTACTCAATGATTTGTTTTCTTCCATCGGGAAGCAGTACATTAAACTCTCCCTGTGCACGATCTCCATCTCTGCTCTCCGTGTGGCCATAATCAGCTCCAGATTGTTCGTCCTTGACTTCGTAAGAGAACTCGTACTTCGCTGGTTCCTGAATTGGCATCGAAATAATATATGACAAAATAAACGACGCCAGCAAATAATTCGTCACGGTACGTAACTATCTAACTTACGTTACTTTCGTCTTCCCCATTGCTGCCGTAACCTCCGTTATTGCCATTGTTTCCACCCGGTCCGGAAGGATAGCCGCCGTTGCCTCCGCCATTACCACCAGGACCACCAGAAGGATATCCGCCATTCCCACCAGGACCTCCAGAAGGATATCCGCCATTCCCAACAGGACCTCCAGAAGGATATCCGCCATTGCCACCCGGACCTCCAGATGGGTAGCCACCATTCCCACCCGGACCTCCAGATGGGTAGCCACCTCCGTTACCACCCGGTCCACCTGATGGATATCCACTATTGCCACCATTGCCACCGTTATATCCTCCATTTCCACCACCATTGTTTCCATTTCTGCCCGGTGGTCCATACAGACTCGATGGTCTGCCTCCGTTTCTGTCGGGTGCTCCATAGCTACTCGATGGACTACCTCCGTTTCTGTCGGGTGTTCCGTAGCTACTCGATGGACTACCTCCGTTTCTGTCGGGTGCTCCATAGCTACTCGATGGTCTACCTCCGTTTCTGTCAGGTGCTCCGTAACTGCTCGACGGTCGTCCACCGCTGCCACCGTTCCCGCCGTTTCCTCCGTTTCTTCCAGGAGGTCCATAGAGGCCCGACAGAGGTCCGCCTCCGTTGCCACCGAAACCATTCCCACTTTCTGGCGGGCCGTAGCTACTCGATGGGCTACCGCCAAACCCATTCTTGCCAGCTCCGTTGCTTCCACCACCGAATCCATTTCCTCCACCAGGTGCTCCGTAGCTGCCGGACGGTCTACCAGCTCCTGGACCTCCGTTTCCACCGAGTCCATTCGACGGCGGCCCGTACGAGCTAGATGGTTGACCACCACCGAAACCGTTCCCCCTGGCGTTGCCGTTTCTCCCGCCGTTTGAGCCAGGTGATCTCCCGTGATCACCACCACCGTTGTAACCGTTTCCACCGGTAGGCACTCCGTAACTGTTCGATAAACCGTTCCGGCCGTTGTCGCCTCCTCCGATACCATTCTGGCCATCGAAACCAGGTGGGCCGTAGCTGTTCGACGGTCCTCCGCCGCTTCCTCCGTTACCACCTCCGGGACCACCGCCGCCTGGTGGCAAGTACGAGTTCACCGGCGGCTCGGAGCGCGCCAGGGTGAGCGTTACGATGAACAGTGCTAATCCAATCTGCACGTGTAAGATTTAAACACTTGCTTTGTACATGCTGTTGTCTAGGTTAATTAAAGAGCTATTGTCTAGGTGGCATATGACACGAATGATTAGTTCGGGATTTTTAAAAACAAGAATTTGGCTAGATCTCTCTCTACCTTGAGTCGTCGCGTTTTTTTCAACTATTGAAAGATGATCGCAAAAATCGCAATTCCATTGATTACCATCCATCGTTTTAATTTCTCTAACTCTGAACGAGTGCACAATAACTCGTGAACAAAATTTCCCCATTGTCGAATTCTACCACAGAGACGGTGAGAATGAATTCTCCCACTTGCGTTAAGCAACTTCGAAACGTAGCTCGAAACACAGCCCGGGACATTTTGACATACGAAAACAATTCACGCGCCGCGCGCTTCTTCCTACCAGATGCCTATCAGTTGCAACAGATACAATTTCTCAGCTGGCTCTGTGAATTCTCACCTTAGACATGTTGGGGCCGATGGGCTCTTTCCTCCGTGCGAAGAACAATAAGCCTCGCGCACCTCCGTTTCTTTTTCTCCCCCGTTTTATCCTTGAGAAGGTGAGCCTGACGATGGACGCCTCACGCGACGGTGCTTCGCGTTTCCGTCGGTTCTACCTTTCGGCCTCTGTTACACCTTCCACCGTTGGATGGTGTCGAGGGAATGACAAACTTTGGTTCTAATCCGCTTTATATATCCCGGGGTTCATCCGTGTTTCTAGATCACGGTTTGGTTGCAAGCGCGTTGGAGGATTTACAGCGGAGGCGCACCGGTGTAACTGTGTCACGGTGGTGTGTTGAATCAAGTCGGTGACGGTGGTGATGGTGAGCGAAGAAGAGTGGGACCGCGTTCAGCCACCTAGAGTACAGAGGATTCGTTCCATATTTCACGGGTTACGAATCCTATATTGTAACGCAATGCGGCGCATCATTAACTTGGAGCATCTCGTTCTCTCGCCTCTCTGTCGGATCGCGAGGTACGTCAGAAGCGAGGCAAGGATGCAGGACCTCCGTAAGGATGCGGACCTTCTAAGGATGGCAACTTCGCGGCCGCTCGTCTTCGTTAACCGAGGCTTGATTAATACTGCTCTCGTCTCGTCTCTCGTATCGCATCGGGAACTTTCACGAAATTGTGCGCTCGATGCCCTGACGCGCTCGATTCTCTTCCATCGGGGCAACCGAGACCGGGGCCGAATGAGACATTAGGCAACGTTAAGCGAACGTACTAATTACAGAGGTAACTATCTAATTAGAAGTCAGAATGTTGTTTAACGCGATACGAAACGATGATTAATAGAACGCTTCTGGCCGGCTGATTAATTAGCCGGTAAATCCGAATCTCTTTTCGTACCTGGTTACCTCGGCAGAGCTCGGGGTGCAACAACGCGACGCGTGATCTCCGTTTCGTTGAAACGGAATTGGCGCGCTCGTGAAACGTACGTATACGCGTTTGCAACATGTGCGTCTGCTCGTAGAGAGCATAGACGAAGTATAGCACGTATAAAATATGCAATATTGTACAATATTGTACAACGTAGAGTATAATAATAGATTATCAATCGCAAGAGCGGAGGTAGAAATTATTATTTAGAAAATACTTGAAGTGAGTGCTTGGGGCATGATTCTCGCAGCCATGAAATTGCCGCTATTATTAACGTAAACTCAGAACGCGTAATTTCAGAACGTAAAAAGTGGTTCTTCGACTTGATCGTGTAATTGATTACAAAACGCGGTAGCCCGAATATTTCGGAAACGTTTTTTTTTTTTTCTTTCTTTCTTTCTTTTGTTAATCGTCGCTTGCCTCCCATGCAATCCCCGTGATCATCCGTCTAATTTCGCAAGCGATAAGTAGCCTTCGATCGACCGAATGTCACGGGTTTGATACAGACAAATTTTTACGTGAGGCAATACACTTTCCTCACACTTTCGATTTCGCAACGTTGGTCCATTAACGGCCGCGTGTGCTTCGCTATTACTATTTCTTTTTTTTCTTTTTTTTTTTATCACCGTCGTACTTAACGATGATTTCAGGGGTTCTGCAGAAGATAAAATTAATTCTGACGAGTACAACAGCGGAAGAACAATTTCAACATGTTGGCGCGTATGATCCTCGTTCTTTGAAATTTGAAATCATTATTGACTATTTTTTCACTTGTTTGATGTTGAATCCTAAATTGTGTCTTCGTTGTAAAATCTCTCCGAAAATGTCCCTTTTCACTATTGATAATTCGAAAAAACCTTTTTCACAAACGAAAAAAGAATTCTGAAAGGAATAAACAGCGAAGCAAATTATACGATTCACTTGTGTTGGACATAACGCGAAGTGTTTCTTTTAAACATGGTTACGTTACTATTGTACGAATTTTTTTTTCAGTTTATCGAGACCTTTCGGATTTTCCGACAATTTTTCTTTACTGAGTTCGACGAATAAATGAGAAAAAAAAAGAATAGTTAAAAAAGAAAAGTTAATATTCTACGAATATTTTTCTCAGTTTATCGAATTTCTCGAAACCTTTCGGATTTTCCGACAATTTTTCTTTACTGAGCGAGTTCGACGAATAAATGAGAAAAAAAAAAGAAAAAGAATAGTTAAAAAAGAAAAGTTAATATTCTACGAATTTTTTTCTCAGTTTATCGAATTTCTCGAAACCTTTCGGATTTTCCGACAATTTTTCTTTACTGAGCGAGTTCGACGAATAAATGAGAGAGAAAAAAAAAAAGAATAGTTAAAAAAGAAAAGTTAATATTCTACGAACTTTTTTCTCACTTTATCGAGTTTCTCGAGACCTTTCGGATTTTCCGACAATTTTTCTTTACTGAGTTCGACGAATAAATGAGAGAGAGAAAAAAAAAGAATAGTTAAAAAAGAAAAGTTAATATTCTACGAACTTTTTTCTCACTTTATCGAGTTTCTCGAGACCTTTCGGATTTTTCGACAATTTTTCTTTACTGAGCGAGTTCGACGAATAAATGAGAAAAAAAAAAAAAAGAAAAAGAATAGTTAAAAAAGAAAAGTTAATATTCTACGAACTTTTTTCTCACTTTATCGAGTTTCTCGGGACCTTTCGGATTTTCCGACAATTTTTCTTTACTGAGCGAGTTCGACGAATAAATGAGAGAAAAAAAAGAAAGAAGAAAAAAGGGAACCGTGCACGAGACGATACCGAAGGATTCTACAAAAAGTTAGATCGTGTAATTCATCGTGTAGGGAGGACTTGAAAAGGAGAGATGGCAATTAAACCTATTATGTCGCATGCGGTTAAGGCAACGACGTGCTTTCTGCCAGCGAGACTTTCTCATGCGTTTTTACGAGGTGCACGTCATTGAAACACGAAAGGGTTAAGAACATCGCTGCTTGAGATGCACATACATACAGTGAATCCCGATCGACCGGAATTCATGCATCTCAACCATGTTCTTTGGCATGTCGTTACCGGCTTACATGGATGAAAGAGACCGAAGATAATACATCGATACCGATCAAATTATACAAATCGGTTTTCATCGCTGCATAAAACCGCGAGTTGATCGACGATTTTTAAGTTGAATTCTGAAAGCGATTGTTTTTTTTTTTTTTGTTGAACTTGAAAGGCTTTCAAAGTAATGGCGATTGAGATACAATGCAACATCTTTCTCAGATATTTTTAAAAATCTATATTTTGTGTTATCTTTGTAATCTACATATTGTCGTCGAGTGCGTTTAGTTGGGTAATCGTTAAATGTCGATGAAAGTCGCGTTGATCGGTCGCTTCAATTCAACCTGGTGCTTCGATTAATATCGTTCGTTCGGGCAATTAAATCTGGCTTGTGTCGATCCCGAAAAGAAAAAAATGTCGCTCGTCGTTATATTAGTAGGGCACGCAGACACACGGATTCAACTGTCCAACGACGTGTACACACGTTCGTATCCTGGATGCATGAAAGTTTGTGCAATCAGTGAACTCGTGCTGAATACAGGTGGTGGCAACGTGGGATGTTGGTTAAGATAGGGATACATTATGCAAGATTGCATCACGGGTTTATTGTATCAGCACCTCATCGTACACGAGTAAGATAGCGCGGCGGGTATCTAAGATTTTTACTGATCGGAGATTTATGGCGTTGGCGAATCCTGAAATTCGTCTTAATCGGTTTAGAACAGTTTCGATTGTATCGCGCCGTGTCCGTTTTATTATACATCGGCCGCGTTGCGAGAGACCCGAGAGGAATCCTCATCGTGCATAAATCGCATCGCGCAACGCGGTGCCACGGACTGTTCAGATTTAATAAATGACCGGAGGCGAACCGTTTTATGCTTGATAAAGCGGACGCTACGCCTGGCATTGATGCATCGCCGCGAAAATTTCTTTTCGAATTCGATGCACCGCGGCGCTTTCTTCGACGAAAATCGCCGGCACGTTCCACGTTCATTCCGTGAAGCATGATTAAAGATTTAAGAAAAAAACTCGTAAGGAGATCGCAGAGTTAACGCACGTAATGCTACGAAGCGAGAGAGATGGAGGTGAAAATGGAAGGTAAACGAGCAAGGATAAATGGAAGTCACGAATGGCTAAATTAACTCGAGGAACTTGCTTAATAGTTTTTCCCGATGATTATCTCTCGGACAGCGGCGCGTCAACGGAGGGAAGATAGGAAATTAGTTTCGGGAGATAACTGTTACGTAAAAGCAATTGGCCTCGGCTTGCGTGCGCGTGCAACTTTTCCACTTTTATGACTGCGCCCGATTGTTCCTCTCCTTCGACCTTTTTCCACGAACCTCCGACGAATTATCCTTTCGTGTTTATTAAATCACGTTTATAACTGGCTTCCCTCGCGATCCCCAGCGCGATTTCTGTAATCGCGCCAATCTTCCGAACGAGTTTACGTATTTTTTTCCTCGTCGCCGCGATCAATCTTCACCCTTCTCGCGAGATGTATTTATTTCACCGTGTTGTGCACCGTGCACTCCTCGCATCTGGCGAAATCTGAAATTTTCTTCCACTCGCAACGTAATTTAAATCTTTGTGTACATTTTGCTGGCGGTTGCGGGACGAGATGGATCATTCTTCACCCGTTGCCGCTGAGATAGAGAAAAGTGTCGAGAATTGGAAAATTTCACGGAGGCTTGAAAAGCAATGGAGGAGACACACTAAAAACGGAGTGGAAGAAAGATGACAAGGGGAGAGGCAAATGTGTGGAGAGACGAGGGCAGACAGATATGAAAGTAGTTTAACAGGAACAGAAACGGTACTTCACTTTCGTCCTTGGGAGACGTATACCTCGCTCCTGGCGATTCGATGAAAGATTGATGATCGCTGGTGCTGTAATTAAAACAATTTCGAATTCCTAGCCATCAGAGTTACGAAATAGGGAAGTGACAAGGAAAGGCAAGAGGATGAGCTCGTACAACAGAAAATGAACTGCCATCGACAGGACGAGTGAACGTTTCAAAGAGAGTTACAAACTAGCTGGTAAATTCGTTGTCAGTCTTCCTTCATCGAAGCAACTTGTCCCATTTTTATTTCAATATTTTATTTTGGAATACCTCTGTGTCACAGAGACATAGCGCTAGACGCGTCATAACACGGAAGATTCGCCTTCGTTCTCAAATAATTCAACCCCTGTCCTCGTTTATTTATGCAATCTCTTTGTGGCTTATGCAACAAATCGGGAGGGGAAAGAACTCGAATTCTCCCTGGCTGTTAACAGGATCCACCAACAGGAGCGCACGTTTAGGAAATTTAGCAATTCAAAACACGTTATCACGATATCGCACGACCGATCGGGCACGAGCGAGAGTTGATAGTTTATCGGTGGATATGGAGATTATAACAGTGAGATGCATCCGCTCTAAACTCTGCGACCATTTATTCCGATGAATCGGAGCGTGCTTTCTCTGCTGCTGAGAAGCAGACGCGATATATATCCATTCGATGCACACCGGTATAATCGAGAGGAGTTTCACCACTTCTATTTGATCTGCGAAAGTGTTGGAGGCCTGTATCCGAAGATGAGCGCTCGTGCTACAGTTAGGTAATGTTCTTTTGCCTGATCTAATTTACTGTCCCTACATCGATCTACAACTGTCTCGCCGAATTGCAACACTCGCGCCGTTAACGATGCAATGCGGTTAGGCGCTTACACTTTTGATACAACGCGGATGACTTATTGCCGGTTAACGCACTATTGCCATACTCCTCGCGCTCTTCGCCGATAACCATCCCGATTTCTTCTCCGGGATAGCCTTTCATCTCTCCCTTCAGCGAGTTTCTCCACTGCGGATATTTTGAAATGATTGTCAATTTGGCAAACAGTGAAAAATTCCTTCCAAATAGGAAGGTCAATCTCCACCATCTTCTTGTTGGGTAATTTTGAACGAGCGTTCTTCTACTTGAAATTACGTTACGTGTGCAAATCGGACATTATTATAGTTGATTTTCTGTCCGCGAGATGGTCATTTCGTTCCTCGTAAAAAACCAGTAATCGTGGCTGGCTGTTTTGAAGGCTGCCTTAATGTAACATCCCTGTTCAAGGCGGCGCGCGATAAAAAGTGTAATTGTATCTTGTAGAAAGCCGACGGTGGCAAAAAAAGGCAAGGTTAAATTCAACGGATTAAAAAAAGTCTACGATCAAGAGAGAAAGGGAAAAAATTTAGCAAAATAATTACAAGGATTACGGAAGAGTAGAACAACTGCAAATTAAATTTATTATGGTTGAATCCATCACGGTGACATGCAAATAGCTACGTTTTATTTTTAATTTAATCGAAATTACGTTGCCGATTCATGTATCATGTCATTCCCATATGTTACATTTGTTTTCAGGATTCATGGGGCTACCTGCTGGACACTTGAAAGCTTTGGCGAAATCTTCGGAATTTGACATCGAACCTATAACTCTCAAACGTGCTGTACTGTGCACGTCGTACTTGGCTATGGACTTTAGGATATCTTTATCTGGCATTGATTCGCACCACAACTGTAAGTAAAAATTAGATCTTATTTTCCGAAAAAGAATATATGAATATATGCAGTGTGTATATGATAGTTCAGATTTAAATTTAAATTGATCATGATTGTGGGAAAGTGCGGCAGGCAGAGACTCACGTTTGCAGATGACAGGAAGAAAAGTTGGTCATTGCTAAATCGTTCTAGCCCTGGTAGAACGGGATCCTCCTTCTTACACACTCGTTCCCTTCGTTTATAAGCTCTGAATACAGTCTGCAAGCCCATTGTATCAGCGATATTTTCACCCGAGGTTTGATTGCCGTAATTCTGAAATATTTCCAACAGTTTTCACGCGACATTGTGTTGAGCATTCTTGAAATATTATTAATTCTTTAAAGATGGAAAATATTTAGGATAGAAACAAATGACAATATTGCCTGCAGGATTCAAACTAACGTAAAACCTTCACCTCGATCGTGTAATTCTCCCCCTTGATGATACTATAACCATTATATTGGTCCACGAAACATTTTGCCCTTTTATCGTAAGCCTGTGCCATTGCAGTCAGCCATTCCATTTGATTCCCATCTTTGTCGTAAAGATGACCTTTTTAATTTTAATTGATTCGTTACACGTTGCTCGTTAATTGCCAAGCATTCAAGTATTTCGTCATCAACTCACCAAAATCGTCGAATCCGTGATTCACTTCGTGGCCCATAATGTATCCAATGATACCGAAATTCACGTACCTGAAAAGCGAAGTTTGCATTCAACGATAATAATAATGCAACGCATTATATTACGTGTGTAAATAATGCGAAATTGATTATTTACCAAGGTCGATTATGAGCAAAGAATGGACTCTGGAAATCTACCGCGGTGATTGCTGTATTAAAAAGGAAATCATTTATATCGTACTAGCAACAAACTATTGTATTTAACGAAGAAAAGAATACCTAATTACAGTGCGTAATATACATACCTATGGAATTTTCTGTTGGCATGAAGAAAGCATTCAGTTCCAGTGGGTCCATCATCTCTCTACAAGTAATTACAAACGTATGATATCTGTCAATATCAACATTTAAGTATGACAAGTCATTGTCATTGTTATTTTTAAAATGAAATCATACTCCACTCTGCTGCTCTCGTCATGCAGTATTGTTCGTAGGTTCTTCCATCTAGTGTACCTGATATAGCTCAGAAAATTTTCGTAGAATGAGGTACCAATTGTAAGCTTTGAAAACGATCAACGATTGATGTAATTATTAATTTCAAGATTATAAGTTATAATTACTGTCGGTGGTTGTTCTTTTTTTCTTTTTTTTTTCTTTGAAAATAAAATTACCCCTTGGAAAAAGCGCTTTGCGAGCGTAGCGTTTCGATACCAATCTGGATAGCCAATCCAGTTCTTCATGTGCACTAATTTGTCCAAGACAAAGTGTCTGGTATCTTTGTCCATCCACGTTGATAATTTAATCTGATGTTCGACTTCCTTTTGTATGTCATCGATCATGTCTCTACCCTTTAAGGATAACAAGTAATGTTGTACGAACGAAGAACAATTTTCACGTTAAGTGCATAATTACCGCTCTTGCTATGTCTTCTGAGAAATATCTCCTAACGTATTCGTATCCTGCTACTTTAGTCAATTGCACTGCTGTCAAGCACGCCTCCTCTCTGTAGGGATGAGAATTGAAGTAATAAAACGTTATCGTCTCCTTTTTTCCTTTTATAACAATTGTTTGACACAAGGATGGTGTTAGAAAGAAAACTATACAAACCTCGAATCGAATGGCCATCGTCCATTCCATGGTTTAGTCAAATCGCTCAATTCTGATGGTCCAGCTAACAGAACCTTGTTAACGAATGACCAGTGAACGTAATTCACTGCAACATGCAAAAGTTTAGTATTTCAATTGGAATGGAGGTATCTTAAATGTATCAGACAATTTACCAAGCGTTCTTTCCGGAGTTTTTGCGAGCAATGTATGAAGTTCCTCTATGTATTTGGGAAACATTACTGTAACTTCTACATCGTCATCGAGTTCCACTCCTGCCTCGGAAAATATCTTTTCCACTTTTCTCACCCAATTGATCTAGACATTTCGATAATATTTCAAATGTGAGCGTCATTTAAGTAACCTGTGAAATATTCAAAGACTGTTTACTCTGTTAGTGCGCGTAACAGGACCCAAAGCTTCGTAATATGTTTGAAGTCCCTGAAGCGTCGTATTCATTGGATCTACGTCCACCTCAAGCTGAAACAGATAGACATCGTTGTTTGAACAAACGCATTTTTGCAGCTTCAAATGTCCCGTAAAAGTTGCATAAAACTTATAGATAAACGTCGTTGTTTGAACAAACGCATTTTTGCAGCTTCAAATGTCTCATAAAAGTTGCATAAAACTTATAGATAAACGTCGTTGTTTGAACAAACGCATTTTTGCAGCTTCAAATGTCCCGTAAAAGTTGCATAAAACTTATAGATAAACGTCGTTGTTTGAACAAACGCATTTTTGCAGCTTCAAATGTCTCATAAAAGTTGCATAAAACTTATAGATAAACGTCGTTGTTTGAACAAACGCATTTTTGCAGCTTCAAATGTCCCATAAAAGTTGCATAAAACTTATAGATAAACGTCGTTGTTTGAACAAACGCATTTTTGCAGCTTCAAATGTCCCATAAAAGTTGCATAAAACTTATAGATAAACGTCGTTGTTTGAACAAACGCATTTTTGCAGCTTCAAATGTCCCATAAAAGTTGCATAAAACTTATAGACAAACGTCGTTGTTTGAACAAACGCATTTTTGCAGCTTCAAATGTCCCGTAAAAGTTGCATAAAACTTATAGACAAACGTCGTTGTTTGAACAAACGCATTTTTGCAGCTTCAAATGTTCCATAAAAGTTGCATAAAACTTATAGATAAACATCGTTGTTTGAACAAACGCATTTTTGCAGCTTCAAATGTTCCATAAAACTTATAGATAAACATCGTTGTTTGAACAAACGCATTTTTGCAGCTTCAAATGTCCCATAAAAGTTGCATAAAACTTATAAATTACTTACTTCTGCCAGCTTGATGATAAACTCGACGAGGTCCTTGACATCTTCGACAATTCGTTCCCTTGGTACCTGAACTCCTCTTTCCCTCGAGAGTATTAAAGATATATTTAGTATGTATTCCCGGTAGCTTTCTCTCAATTCCTCAAGAGTTTCCTCTTCGTCCTCATCCTCATCGTCGTCATTGTTCTCTTCATCATCGTTGTCTTTGTCATTTTCTTCGTCGTTCTCAGCATTATCTTCATCCTTGTTGTCGTCGTCGCTAGTATTCGTACTGTCATCCGTATCTTCGGCGCTGTCGAACGTTTGCCTACGTTTCGAAACGCTAATCTTGTTTGCGGCGTGATGAATTCTGCGATCGGCAATTTTCTGGTGCTTATGATTTTCACTGGCATGAACCTTTGCTTTCATTCCAGTTCTGTGCAATTTCTTCCCGTGGGTATGTTTCCTCGATAATCTGTGCAATTTCTTCCCGTGGGTATGTTTCCTCGATAATCTGTTCTTATTATGCTTCCTCCTGCTACGTTCTGATTGCCTGGCAATCTTCCTTCTGGAGGCTATTTTCTTCTTGCGTAATCCTTCCTTTTCTTCGTGATCTTTTTCCATCCTCTTCTCGTCACGCTTATCATGGCTTAATTTCGCTCTTAAATGCTCCATCGACGTCGTGTCTTTCGCGTTATGTCTTTTCGTAATCAATTCGTCGTGTGACGAATGTCCACGCTCTGACAACTTTCCTTTCGCGTTATGACGAACTTTATGTTTGTTCGTAATATTCCTCCTAGCTCTTCTCGCCCTTCCCTCCTTATCCATAAGTCTGTGCATAATCTTCTTCTTATTGTGATTGTTTTTAACACGGTGTTCCCTAACAGTGATTTTTTCCTTCTCCGTCTCTTCTTCATCGTCTTCTTCAGCAATGTTCCAGTCCGATTCGTTCTCTTCCTCGTCCTCTTCATCTTTATCCTCCTCTTCGTTCTGCTTTTGTTCACCTTTTTCCCTGCTTCCTTTTTCCTGACTGCCCTCTCCACTTTCGTTGTTCTCATCGCTGCTGTCTAAAACGGGCATTTCCTCGTCCGGAAGGAGCCTATAGATACCTTCTGGTAGATGTGGCGTTGAAATCTGAAACATTGAAGAAACGTTATTCGAACAGATATTCTTTTTCAATTGCAGCGGATCATACAAATGATCGTACAACTATCGTGTTGTTGCCTTCGAACGTCAAGCTAGCGTAACGTAAATCGTAGAATGCGTTGAATCCCAGTAAACGAGCAAATTGGTCATCGACTATTTGCCAGTTGTATATTTCGTCATTCCATTCTTCGTTCTCCATGATAAGTGGCCATCCTCCGTGTCTCCACAAGGTGGACAGCAGTGGTTCCACTCCCCTTTTTTCTATGGCATCTGTACGACATTTATTCTTATTATATATCCACGCAATGCGTGTTAATCAAGGAGCATTGTATAATTAGCTTGCATTGGCATCAACGAGCATGTGTTGATTAATTAATTATTAACGACGTTTGAAAATGCACCTGTATCCAAGCAAGTGTGGTACCATTTCTTGGCAAGTTTCACTGAGAAAGTGTCGTCATGTTTCACTTCACTTGTAATTATTTCTGAAAACAGAAAAAAAAAAGAAAAACGAAGAAACGAAAACACAAAGTATTTTAAACATAAAGTAAAAATTATCCTCGGCGTAATCAAAGTGAATCAAGTATCAAGTCACCTTCGATTTGACGGTCAACTTTTTCTGACACCATATTCCATAAGCTCCATTCGGTCCTATTTTCCGGCGGAGGATTGCTTTTCGTCCAATTGCCGCAGGCGTAGTCGTAAAAATCATCGCATGGGTCCACGGACTCGTCCATGCTGTCCTTAATTATTTGCGCTGCATTGGAAAAATTTTACACGCATAAACATACATACCAATTGCTATTCTTTTCTATATAAAACAGAAATGGGAGTACGATATGATCAATGAAATTGATGTCAAACGAATATAATTCGGAGAGTTCTCCTCTTCGTATTGTGAAGGGCGAAATTTTATTTTCCAAACATCTGTTGCTTACCGATCAGCTTGCATTCTTCGGTCTTACATACTTCGCGTTCAGTTTTCTTCGCCTCAACGGCAGACTTAGCTCCAAACAAACGCCGCAAGCTGCGAGGATAGTCTAACAGAGAGTTAGGTATCAGACTGGCGCTTATGATGATACACAAGGATGCTCTGGAATTAATCGAACAAATGAATTTATCGGTCCAAGTCGTTCTTCGCTATAATATGATATCACAACTTACATTATCAGTAGACGTAACATTTTAAGGATCATGCGATCGAAGTCACACTCGCGAGTTAGGCATCCAGTCTTTTTTACGTAAGAATGACGGTAGCTGTGAATTTTATACCGAGGAAGCAACCGTGAAGTTTTTTTCTGTTACGCTCTGATAAAATATCCTATCACAGTTTTCGTCTGGCGTTTGATAGGAAACAAATGTGCATCCTTTGCCGCCGCGATTTTCCAGAAATATCGCAGCGTTGCATCCAGGAAACTTCATTCGTCCCGAACGTTCCGTTCATTTCCTTTTAATGTGGATAATATTTTAACGAGACGGATATTTCTTACCGGCTTGATAATTTTAATTGAATGCATTTTCCATTGCAGAAATAAAAAGTCGTGAAAAATTGTTATTTATGTCGATGTTGGTTTTTGCAGTGAAAATATGTACAAAAAATAAATTTTTAACATTATTCTAGAAGATTACAAAGACTTTTCGTTGTAATAGTTTAAATTATTCAGTAACAATTAATTGTTATTTATTTAGTAATAGCAAATTATTGTAATTCTTAATGTAATACTTGTACCAGAAAGAATTACGCTTCGTAGAGGAGAAGTTATCATAATTAAACAAGGTAAAATGAGACATATTCAACATGAATTATTAGTGTTTCACTTTTAATAATTATTTCTTCAATTGAAAAAAACACCTCTCTACTACTTAATTATTGCTTATAAATTTTTATTAATTATTCTATATATTTTAATCACGCCATAAATTCGATAGGAATAAGATAGAATAAACTAACATAAATTTCACAATTTTATTTTGTTTTATCATTTTTTTCTTTTTTTTTTTTTGCATCAGTTTACAATGATTGATTCTTGAATGAAAATATAATATCAGTTTTTTATTAGTACAAATCATAATTATACAAATAATTAAATTAATACAACATTCGAAAGCGTAGAATTTCAAAAGGATATTTATTTTCTGATTATTTTCCAGCTAGCCAGCGATACATAATCTCTTCATTCCCATATGTTGCATTTCTTTTTAGGATTCATAGGACTGTTTAATGGACAATTGTAGGCTTCAGCAAAGTCTTTCGAATTGGATACCGAACCAATTACTCGTAACGAACCGAGACTATGTGAATCCTGTCTTAATTTTATTTCCATTTTTTCGGGAGTTAACACTTCACACCATGTCTGTAAATTTTAAAACATGTACATACACTTATTTCTAGTTCATGCACTATTAGGTGTTAGTAAGATATATAAACAACAGAATATATATATATATAAATAACTATGTTAGTAATATATATAAATAACATTTTAAAACATGTACATACACTTATTTCCAGTTCATGCACTATTAGATGTTAGTAATATATATAAATAACAGAATATATATATAAATAACTATGTTAGTAATAAATAACAAAGTAATATATATAAATAACAGAATAACAGAGTAATATATATATAAATAACAGAATAACAGAGTAATATATATATAATTAACAGAATAACAGAGTAATATATAAATAACACAATCATTTAATTCAACTTACATTAGCAAAAGATAGAAAGAACAGTTGCTCGTTACTCATGTGCTCTAATCCTGGCAACGCAACATCTGGTTTCTCACATTCTCGTAATCTTCGCTTATAAGCTTTAAATACAGAATTTAAAGCCATCGTGTCTGCAATATTTTCCGCTGACGTTTGCATGCCATAATTCTGTAAGATTAAATGATTTGAAGCAAGTATCTCGCAATTTTTGGACGTGAAAAATTGAAAATGTTGTGTACATAATATATATATATACATATATATATATGTATATACCTCTATAGAAATATTCCCTGTTTTCCTCTCCACGATACTATATCTGGTAAACTGATCTATAAAGCATTCTGCTCTCTTGTCGTACGCTTTCAGCATTTTACGTGACCATTCCGCGAAACCACCGTCTTTGTTAAATAAACGGCCTGAAAATTATTTCTATCGCGTTAATACTTCTGTTAACTAAGATTGTTGTTGTAAGATATCAATAATGCTTTAAGACACGTTACCCAGAATATCGAAACCATGATTTACTTCGTGACTCATGATCACCCCGATAATACCATAGTTTGTATACCTACATTATATATTATGTAATATATAATTCCAAGTACAAATATAAATATAAATGTATAATTTTTTTTGTATAAAGTACTGTTCGTTGTGAATTAAATTAACTTTTATAGTAATTTTGTTAATCTGTAATAAGGTAAAAATTATACTTACCACGGTTGTTTAAAGTCAAAGAAGGGTTGTTGTAAATCTACCGCTGTTATTTCTGCAATAATGTAATCAAGTGTTAGATGAATATTGTTGCAAATTCATTAGCGACGATTTAATTTGTTTTCATTCTTATTTTTATGCCAATCGGATTTCTTAGATTTCTTTGTCTCTGAACTTACGAATGAAATTCTCCACGGGTGAGAAGAAGGCATTTACTATCAATGGATTAAAGTCTAGTCTGTAAAGGAATTAATCTTTTGATTAGTTCAAATTCAGTACACGTTCATTTATATTTATCATTATTACGGAAAAAAGACTTACTCCTCAAATGTTTCGATAGGATCCTTCTCTGAGAATATAGTTCTCAGGTTTTCCCACTTTTCATATCTCATGATGCTTAACATGTTCTCGAAGTGCGATTTGCTGGCGCTGAGCTGCAGATTTATTAAAATAATACCATAAATATAATTTATTAAATTATTAAAATTTATTAAAATTTATTATACATAAAATAGAAACTAAACTAATAAAATTTATTAAAATTTATTAAACATAAAATAGAAACACGAGGACGAAAAGTAAGTGAGCAATAAAATGGAAACTGGCAGATGTATTAAAGCCTCACCCCTCTGAAATGTTCCTTCATGGCAGTAACATTTCGATATGAATTCGGATATCCGATCTTCTTGTTCATGTATACCAATTTATCCAAAATGATATCTCTGACTTCATCGTCCATCCAAGTTGAACTTTTGATTTGATATTCAACTTCTTTTTGGATCTCGTCTACCATATCTGAAGCCTTTAACATCACACAAAGAGTTATATAATTTTTATAGCAATACTACGCTATTATATTATATTAATATTATAATATAATATAATTAATAATATATTTAATCTTATAATATATATATTATAATATTTCTTTACCGCTTGTAAAACTTTCTCTGATAAATATCGTTTCACATATTCGTATCCTAAAATGTAATTTGCGTTTGTATCAGCGATACACTGCTTCGTTCTATAAAAAAAAAATCGTTCCTTTGTTTTCTGTGTGTAAAAAAAAATTTAATATCACAAAAATATTTCACATTTATCGTTACCTTTTGCTCTCTAATGTTTCTAAACTATTCCAATTGTGATATAATTCTCTCATTCTTTTCGTACTAGCTTTTATTACTTTGCTAAGAAAATTCCAATGTATGTAATTCACTGTGTAAAATTTATATACATTACGCCTTATTAATCAGTTATTATTTCACTGTTAAAATAAACTACAATACCACGAGTAAATCATATATTCCATGACATACCAATTATTCTACTCGGAGTTCTGTCTAATAATTTGCTCAACGCTTCGATGTAACCATAGGACGAAATGAATACGTAGTCGTCAGTAATTTCCATACCACCGATAGCAAACACGTCTTTCACTTTCGTTATCCAATTAATCTGGAAACGAAAGAATTCATCGTACACTCTCAACAAAAATTTCAATTCTCCTCTTCCCAAGTTGAACAGCTTTCCTTACTTTCCCGTTTTCCGTACGAGGATTCAACGCGTTGTATCTCCTTTGCAGTGTTTTAAGCTTAGCCTTTACTTCCTCATCGTACACGAAAATATACTGCACGAAGACAAACGTTTCAGTTTCAGTTTGCATTAAGATGAAAAACGATGCAAGATGAAATCGTCATACCTTACCTTGACAAATTCTATTTGAAACTTAACCAAGTCGGCGATGTCTTGGACAAGCCTCTCCCTCGGTATTCGAATGCCTCTTGCTTCAGAAAGTGCTACACTAACATTTAGCATATACTCTGCGTACGTTTCTCTCGTTTTTCTCACCTCCTCTTCTGCTTTCCAGATTTCGTCGCTTTTGTCGTCGTCACTGTCATCGCCACTGCCGCTACCACCTTCGTTGTCCCATTCATAGTCACCGCTGCCACTACCGTCTTCGTCGTCCCATTCATAATAATCACCGCTACCGCTACCGTGTTCGTTATAATTGCTATCATTCTCTCGGCCGTTTTCATCATTCCTGTCGCCGCTATTGTTCTCCCCTTGATTCGCCTTTTCACTCTCATCGTCGAAATATAAATCGTTGTTCGTGTCCTCCATTCCTTTACGATTATTCCAGTTACCCGGCTCTTTCGATTTTTCACTGCTGCCAGACTTGTCCACTAACTTATGCCTCGACAGTTCTTCAGTATTCTCTTTTGCCACAGGATTTGTCACTCGATTGACAATTCCACTTTGCACAGGATATTTCTTATTGCGGACTCTCGCTTCTATTGTAGCTCTTTTCGTTCGTATTTTCAACTTCTTCTCGTCGACGTGTTTCTTCGTTGTTTTCTTGATCGTATCACTCGCTCCTTTTTCGTCAATTCTATGATTACTGATTTTTCTCTCATCGATATCACTTTTTTGTATTTTCAGTTCATCATCATCGTGGCGTTCCTCGCTGCCTCGTTCTTGACTTCCTTCTTCGTTATCGTTGCCTCTGTTATTATATGTTACATCAATATTTCGGAGATTTATAAGATTGTACACATTTGGCGATAAGTGAGGGGTATTGATCTGAAAGTGTCAAATAACATCATTGTAACTTTATAGAAATAATGTCTTCTGGTTACATGTACTTACAAATAGATGTAGTCCTTTATGGATCCAATAGTTCGTAGAAGCATGCACATCGTGGAAACTATTTAATCCTGTCAAACGAGCGTAGTAATCGTCCACATTTTGCCATTTGTATATTGTCTGATCCCACTCATCTTCCTCCATTATTAATGGCCATCCACCTGCCCTCCACATCGTGGATATGAGTGGCTGGAGACCAGTTCTTTCTATCTCATCTGCGAATTACTCGTAATAATCTAATTTGCTGATAACATCTTGGCTAAGACCGTAATTTTATAAAGAATATGATTTTCAGATTAATAATCTAGAGAAATGTATATTTTGTTGGGAAACAAAACCTGTGTCTAGGCAAACTGCAAACGCCATTTTAGCAAATTTTGTGGCATGCAGGTCATCGTGTTTGTGCCCCTCTTCCATGATTTCTAAATATACAGACTAACGATAATTATTACATTTTATTTATACAAAATAAAAGATTCCGAACAATGATCACATCAAATGAAAATAACGAGCAATAACCTTCGAGACGTTCTTCAACTTCCTTCTGACTTTTACTCAGCATATTCCATCGTGTTTCGTTAACAGGAAGCAGATTATATTTAGCCCAATTGCCACATGCATACTCGTAGAAATCTTCGCATGGATCCACGCTTTGGTTTATACTTTCCACTAATGATTTCGCTATTAGGTAACAGACAAATTAGAGACTATTTATATCGAGAATCCTTTTATATACGTCTTTAACACCGTGCAAATGTCAATGTAGGATTTTTATATTATTTTGTAAGAAAGAGAAGATCTCCATGGTAAATGTAAAAAAATCTAATCTGCTCACCGAGATCTTTGCATTGTTGAGTGAGGCAAAGCGGTCGTTTTTCTGTTGGTTCTTCTGTAGCTGTACCTAGTAACCATCGTGAATAAAAAGCGTGGTTCAGAGTGCTATCGATACCATCAGCAATGACGACCAAAAATACACTACAAAATTCATTTAAAAAAATCACATTGTACGAGTATGTTAATTTATTTAGACGATAAGATTTCTTTTCGTAACAACTACTTACAGAATCCATGTTAATCTCATTATTTTAATAGAGATACAGTAGAAAAAGGGACGAACTGAACTATTGAGACGTAGCCTCCGATTTACAGACTTTTGATTTCTGAAGTGCAGAACTCATCGAAGTTGGTGATGATTTTATATTTACAGAAAACGGAAAGACCCTGAGTCGATGATAAGCGCTGATAGTATACATATACTGTGTAGTATCGATATACTGTGTAACATCCTCTTTGTGCACATTGCTTTGGCAGGAATAAAGTAATATTGCATATTCTAGCATCGTATTTATTACCGTAGATATTTGGTACATCTGTTTATTAAATATTATTATATCATTATCTGTCATTACTATTATTTATTTTGTTTAGTGCTCAATAGTTGCTTATATCTACAATGATGAAACAAGTAAATAATATTTTATAATTTACATTGCTGAACGTGTCAGTGAAAATAGAATAATTATTGTCACGTTAATCTAACTTGTCAAACTTATTATTATTATTATTATATTGACTCAACTACTTATCATAGCTTATTTTTAGAAAAAAAACATTAATAAATTACATATTAATTGATTGATTCATCAGATTCTCTTAAATTTTCGTTCAACGTTCCGTAGCCTCCACTAAATCCAATTTTCAATGCAACTTTTATTGCTTTAGTTTTAGTGTAACTCGGTCGTCGATATCTTGTGACTCAATATCAGGATACACGCGGGTGAAAGAAACGGTAGCATCGCATCGTCAGATGCTGCAGCATCTAGTCTGAGGCGAAAGGGCTGCGCAACCTTATTTTTCATCCGCGGACAGGATAACGTGTGCACGCTGGCTCTAGGATGCAGTCCAATCTGAAAATATATTGCACAAATATACGATGTTAACAACGTTGCCGCGCAGACGATGGTGGAATAGTTAGCGATTGGCGATGCCCGTGACAGGAGAGAGTAAATCTGAGCGGTAGCCAGTTAACTCGATCAACGATTGCCTCGATGTTGATACGAATAAGTGAAACGAAATTCATTGATCAAACAACAGATATTTCGAGTGATATCCGAACGTTTAGAATTTGAGCGAGTTTTATTCTGTTTCCCTCCCCGTATCATCTTCTTTCCTCTCTCTTATTTTGTTATTTTGTTTTCACGCGCGCGCGTTTTGACTTGTCTCGAATCTTAATCGCATCGGATAAAATGACGACCGATAATTAACTAACGATTTATAGAAGTTGAGAAATCCATTTTCTTTGTTCAAATCGTAGTGAGACGCGTGGTTTAGGCAATAGTTCTTCCTAAGTACGTAATTTGTAAAAGTAATCGGTAGCCTTTTCAAATTAATCATATTCAATTCGTTATATCGTACTGACCACATCGTAAGCTGTACGAATTAATAATTGATTTAAATACATCGCGCTTAGTTATTCGACAACACTTTAATCCGGGGTTTTTAATAGATTAACGCGTTCAGCGTAACGATTCCTATTCTGTAAATGTGAATGTAAAAGTAAAGCAACTCGACGAGACGAGTGAGTAAAAGGTTCGTAATCGCAATCAGCATCGTCGAAGCGAGCATCGTGCACAGATGAAAGTCCTTGAGAAATATTTGGGTACATCCAACAGATCAATAAAAAGATAATTGCTAAGAGATAGATCCGAATCTTACAATTCAACATCTTTATAACGAAATGATACAGTCGATAAATTGAATAATTATATTGCTAAACTGTTTTCGATTGCAATCAATGTGAAAATCTGCGGGAAACAAGGAGTATGACATATTGATTTTAAATATACCGCCATTTTTCTGATCGTGAAACTAAACACTTCGTACGGTATAAGAGGTTAATTTATGTAGTAATTTAAGAGAAACAATGAGAATCACATAAGCATAATCTACTTATTAACAAAACTATTAAATATATTGTTAATACATTATAGTAATATCGAGTGAACTTGTCATTTCCTTTTAATTTCGAGAAGACGATAATTCACCGGTAGGTATAGTAAGGTTATGTTTAAGATGTATTAAAACAAATTATAATTTCAAATCATTCTTATGATTCATTTTCATGATTCTTAACGTAACATAATTGTATCAGAACATAAACGTACGGAAATTTCATTATATAATCATACATGATATTGAAATGTATAATTAGAAATTAATGATAAGTTCATATTTGAAATTTCTTATCAAATAATTCATTGCAGAGAAGTTTTTACTAACAACTCATTATGTAATAGTGAGGCATTTGTTTCTTTTATGAATCTTTCGACATAATCAAGGAAAAAGAAAGCATAGAAACATGTCGACTTTAACGCGCATGCGACTTATAAATGGTGGGGGGATCCTTCGGGAAAAGATATTCCATATTTTCGACCAAAGAGGAATATCTGCTCCTGCTTCGAAAAAAGTGAAAATGGTAAGTTTATTATGATAAATTTATAAAATTAAATATTGAAAAGTGCATTATTATTAGTATTACGTGAAAAAGAAAATATTCAATTGGCACGAGTATGTGAATCAATTGGAAGTTTTATAAATAATCGGTAACCATTAATTTAAAATCTTCACGATAAACTTTGATCTACTGTTATTATTAAAAGTGATTTTTAACTCTGCTTGGAAATTTTTATCGATTCAAATAAATCAGTAATATACAAAAGTATATATTATTTGTACAGGATACTTCGTGATTTTTGGGCGTAACAAGTGGTTGAGATCCTAAGATCCGTTACATATAAATTGTAATTTTTTTATAATTACAAAAATAAGAGATACGAAAAAGAGTGTTATGATTAATTGTTAATTGTAGAAAGAAATAAATATAATTTTCTGCTTCAGTAGTTTCTCATGTCACATATTGCGAAATAATGAGCGGTTGAAGTAATTCCTAATCGTATTGATCCGACATTCCTCTTACCGATATCGTCGAGGAAAATTTTTTGCTTAATTAGGATTTAAGTAGTTTTTTCATTAGAATTTGTATAGATTTATTACGAAAAAATATTTAAATTAGTCACTGAAATGTAATACGTTATTATAATACATCTTTTGTAAATCTTAATTTTTAGGGAAAGCTTACTCAAGAGGAACGAGAAAAAGATTTAAAGCCGTTATTATCAAATGGTTGGTCTGTGCAACAAAATAGAGATGCTATTTATAAGGAATTTTTATTTAAAAATTTTAATCAGGTGAGTTTTATTTTAAAAATTTATTTTTTATTCACTGCATTTTAATATTATGGAAGAGTTGTATTATTTCTTACATATTTGTGTTGATAGGCATTTGGTTTTATGACCAAAGTTGCATTGCAAGCAGAAAAAATGGATCATCATCCTGAATGGTTTAATGTTTATAATAAAGTAAACATTACTCTGTCCTCCCATGATGTTAATGGCTTATCACAAAGAGATGTTAAACTTGCATCTTTTATAGACAAGGCTGCTAAAGTGGAAAACAACTAAAATTTGATTTATATAATAACTTTAAAATAATTTTAGTGTTTGAATAATACCTCTATGACAATAAATGTTTAGAATTTATACTGTTATAAAAGTTATATTAAATATATTTTACATGGCATATATATATATATATATTTCTACGTATAAATATCACATATCTAAGATGCATTTATGTTTGTTTTATATAATTTACATAAATAAATATTGTATTTAATTGATATACTATCACAATATATGTTGCCTAAAGTAATAAACATTATTTAATGATAGATAATTTATTTCTGAATAATTTACAAGAAATGGAATTTCAAACCATCCAAAATAAAGTTTGTATCTATTCAAAACATGTAATTATTAGGGAATTATTCTAATCATAATAATTAATAAATTATTCTTTGGCAATAGGTTTTTGTGGGGGCGTTTTGCCAATTGCCCAAGCATCTTTCACAGCTCTTGAAACTCCGGGACCGTTATTTATGAGTACAAATAGGCCACATAGTGTTATCGCTGAGACTATAAGCAATGAAAAGTGCAGGATTTTTGGCAGTACAGGTCCAACAATATTAGGTCTTGCATAATCTGTAATCATGGCTTCTAGACCCCTATTTAATACATGTTTTATTATAATAAAAATTTAGGAAAAATGTGAAATCCATAAATATTAAATCCACAAATAAAAAATTGAAAATGTGCAAAAATGATAAAAAATGTAATCTTAAATGATAATCTTTGAAGAGGAATAATTACCAATGTGTATGCATTACAACTAATACAGACATTATGCCATCAAGAATAGAATTTTCTGTTATTAAAGCAGCAGGTATCAAAAATGGTAGTGCTGTTGCAATGACTCTTTCCAAAACCCACAAACGCACATGATCACCAGATGTACTTGCACTGCGGCTTATTTGCGTACCTAAAATGGCAGTTGTTGGGAACTAAAACACATTTACATTTACATTACACAAGAATATGTATTTACCCAAAAATTAACGTAACCTGAATACTTGAAATTAATATTCGATACCTTTGTCAAACAATTAGTTCTATTGCTAATTGTACCAGAATCCAAACATTGTCGAGCAGTGGCAAGACTACTGGAAGTTCTGCCAAATTGAGGTAGTCTACAAGAATTTGCAAAAAGAGTAGTTTTCGAAAGTGATTCTGCAAAAATAAAAATAATACGATTATTTATATAATCTTATGCATGTATCTTATATTTTTATACTATAAAGTAATTAAAGATACAAGAAAAGATTTTTTGAGTAGGGTTATGTCAATGTCATTAAAAATAGTAAAAATTATATAAATCGGGACAATTTATATATCTTTTCAAGTCTCAAATTTCACTTACCTAATTGTTTAACCTTGTCAATGATGGTGGGAGATACTACTCTTTTCAAAATCATTTTATAATTCACAAGATACAAAATTTCCCAAATCTGTGTTAATTCACAGACGACGACGACGACGACAAACTTTGATGACAATTGGATGTTACGATTATAATTTTATAGAACTAAAGATATGCATAAATACAAACGAGTTTTCTCTATCGACTATTTTCACATCGATTTTTCTGTTCGACTTATCGAATAATTTAAGTTTGTCTAACTGCAACGTAAATTCATAAAAAGTAATCTGAAGTAAAATCAAATGTCTTTATTGTAATACATACATAATACATATCTTACAAAAGTAATTAATATTTTTATATTTTTCCTTTTATATTTTTATTTGTACATCGCATTTGCATATAAACAGTTTTATTATATGAACTTGGGTTGAATGATACGCGTGTGTTTTTTGTAATGTCCTTTAAAAATATTTGACTATTCAAAAAGTTACAAGGTACATGACGATATTTGAAATTTATTTGCCGTTGAGAAACACTGCGCGGAAGCACATGTCGATCGACAGGTTAAAATCCTGTAAACAGCATTCTTTAGTTACATGTTGAATTATACTTTCGAATGAGAATATAAAAGTTGAAAAATTTAACAAACGGTTATTAAGTACAATGTCTAAAGCAAGTAAAAATATTGAGTCCGAAAAACATAGAAAAGATTCCAGGAAAAATAATCGATGGGGCAAAAAAAAGAACAATGGTAAGTCGTTGGACTAAGCGTGTTAATTTTAACATTAATCTCACGAAAGTTAACCGATCCTTTTTTGTTTTTGAATTTTTTTTTTAAAGGATCTCGAAATGACAATTTTAAAAAGAGTTCTTTTAAACGAAATTTGCCAAATTTTCACTCAGATGAGAAAAGAAAGAAACTGCAAGTTGGAAACAGGTTAAAGGAATGTGATGTTGGGATCACAGAGTTTATTGGAAGCGAAGGATTTTTTGGTGTGATTAAAGAAAGATATTCAGACTTTCAAGTTAATGAGATTGCTGCTGATGGACAGATAGCTAAATTAACAAATCAAGATGTTCCATCAGACGGGGAGGATGAGAGCACAGAAGACCCCCAAAAAATGATACCAAGTGCAATTTGGAGTCAACTGCAGGAATTTAAAAAATTAAAAAATGCTAGTCTAGAAATTGATGTAACAAACTTGTCTAAAGATCAACGTAAAGCAATTCATAGTATTGCTAAATCAATGAAGGAAGTTTTAAGTCAAACTGTAGATAGGGAAAATAAGAAGATCCTGATGATTTTGCCAAATAAATACGGTAATAGTACTAGTAAGTTATGTATTTATTTCAAGTTCAAAATGTATAAATTATGCAAAATACATTTTGATTTTAGATAAGAACTTTCGGAAAGACACTAGGATAAATTGGAAAAACCAAGGAAAATATTGTTACTTTTTATTACATAAAGTGAACATGGATACAATGGCTGCTTTGAATCGACTAGCCATGAATTTACGTTTGAATCCAAATAGTTTCAGTTATGCTGGGACAAAGGATCGTAGAGCGTGGACTACTCAGTGGGTTAGTGTAAAGAAAATTCGACCCACGAATATATTAAGAGCAGCGAAAAATATACGTGGAGCGTATATAGGAAATTTTAAATTTGAAATGGAATGTTTGAAATTAGGCATGTTGAATGGTAACTGCTTTAGAATCGCTTTGAGAAATGTTAGTGGAACAGATGAGCAAATTGAAAAGTCAATGATTTCTTTAAGAGAGCATGGATTTATAAATTATTACGGTATGCAAAGATTTGGTACTGTAGCAACTATTCCAACTTATGAAATAGGCAAAGCTTTACTTCAAGGTATTTCTTTTTATGTAATTTATATGACAATTGAATTTCTCAAAGTTTGTATAAACTTTGTCCAATATAAAGTTCTTATGTTTTGTAAAAAATAGGTAAATGGAACGAGGCAATTGATTTAATTTTGAAACCTAGAGAGGGTGAGAATGATGAAGACGTGGTAGAAGCTAGAAAAATATATGCAGAAACTAAAGACGCAAGCGCTGCATACAAAAGAATTAAAAACTGTAATAAAGTAGAGGCTATACTTCTAAAGGGACTCAGTACATGTAATAGTAATAATCCTCAAGGTGCTTTGGATTTAATACCAAGAAATGTTCGTTTAATCTATATTCATGCCTATCAAAGTTTCGTTTGGAATCACATAGTATCAAAAAGAATAAGAGAATTTGGAAAGAATCCTGTGGTAGGAGATCTAGTATATGAAAAAGATGTAAAATCTGATAATGAAGAAGAACTCGTAACTGAAGATGAAGAAGCTAATGAAAAAGTAAGTGAACTTGGAAACGAAGAAGATGTAGATGAGGAAATGGAGAAACCGCCTGAAACATTCGAAGAATCACCAAATACTTTGATTAAAGAAATGACAGATACTACAGAATGCTGCCTTAAAGTAGACGAGAAATATAGAAAGAATACAGAGAAAAGTAGAATTACTAATGAGAAAAATGAAAACAACGATTCATATAATCTTCCTGCGGTAAAAATTCTTGAAGAGAAAGATTTGCCAAATTACACTTTAGCAGATGTATTAATGCCACAAGTTGGTTGGAAAGTTACATACCCGCCCTATGCTAAACCATGGTTCGACGAGTTTCTGGCAAAAGACGGATTAACTACTGATCTTAGGCAAAAGAATAAGTGAATTATCAAAAATGATTTTCAGTTATTTATTATCCTCGTGCGACAATATTTTTTATTTGTATTCTTTATTCGTTTCATTTCAGAAAATATACTTTGGGCGGTGCTTATAGAAAAATATTGCAAATTCCTTCGAATTTATCTTGGAACGTTATGCATTATTCAAAGAAACATGCCGATCTTATTATGTGCGATATTAATGAAATGAGAAAGTGCTCAGCTCCAAAAGATGATCCAGGTATTTGATTTTTTAATATACGTTAAGATTTTCATTTTTATTTAAAATTTAAAAAATTACAAAATTTCAATTTTTTCAGAAGGAAAATATAAAGCTTTAATAATACAAATGTCTTTAAAATCTTCTACATATGCAACTATGGCATTGCGTGAAATTTTAAAATCTGATACATCGCCGCAAGTACAAGCTGCTCAGTCTGCTGCTTGTGAGGCAGAATTCGAGAAGTCAAACATCTCGGAAAAAACTAAAAACACTATCAAAGACGATAATAAATCGAGCGATATGAAAAAACATTTTGATATTGAAGATGATAAAATGGAAATATCCAACTAAGTATGAAGCTGTGATAATTCCCTTATATGTCTAAATGAACCAACATAGCTCCATTTATTAAATAATTCAAAATTTTGATTTTTGATTCCTTAAAATTTAATTAAATTTATTTTTTTTTACGAGTTATTTATTAGGTTTGGTAATAACATAAAAAAAAATATATTTTGTTTACGAAATAAGACTTGAATAATTTTTACGAAAATAATGAATCCATTTTCAAAAAAATCAAAGAATTTTCGAATACCATAATATTCGAAAATTGTATTGAATAGAATGGAATCTTTAAACGTGCGTAGATTAAATAATGTCCATAGAGTAAACAACGTGAATAGAAAGAAAATTGAAGATCCATCTACAAAGGCTCATCAAAAGTTTGTAAATTAGTTTCTTTTGCAAATAAAAATTTGATCAATTCATGAATACTGAAATACTAGCACCACAGGCAACCTACCTTTTTCTTTGTCATACATTATTGCTCTCCTTGTTTACGAAGACATCTCATTGTTAGGGGAAGTACGACAAGAATAAACTATATGTTTCCATCTACTGAATCTACCGAGAGTCTTTCGTTTTAGTTAGTCTCGATAGATGCCAGCACATGGCTTATTCTTGTAGCGACCTACTTCGAAGAATTTAGATCAACGACATCTATGTTCCGTCGAGATGTGTATTTAATATAAACAATAGAATATTTAAAAACAGCTATTAATTTTATTATCACCATGGAAATGTTTACTGCCACTTATATATATTGTAGCCATAGTAGAAAATCTTCATTCGTTATTTCGTTATTTCGTTATTTAACTTTCATTTATAGAAATTATTCGTCATTTAAATTCTATTATGTAAACTTCATTAAATTATTAGTAATTGTATATTTTGTGATATTGATAATATTTTTATATANATATTTTTATATAAACAACTAAAATTAATTACGGAGTTATTATTTATTTATAGTATTGTGATATAAATATAAATTATCATAATCACTATATTCTTGTCATCTTTTTAAGAATTTTACTTCTTTTGTATGTTATAGATGACATCACATATAGATGATAGCACCTCTGTAGACTATGTAGGAACCTGGAGTAGATAAGGCAGGATTCTACCGCAGGTTCACTTACAAAAAATTATACACGTAATTCTTTTAACAGTTTTATATATTTTTATCTTTGGTTTATTATCACAATTGCACTTACAAATTTCTTACAAATCTCTTACCCTTAGTAGCGAACAAACGTAGGAGTACTTATGGTAGTGGATACAGTAGAAGTAGTAGTAGAAATAGAAGGCCTTTTCCTCTTCGCAACCCAGTTTTATAACCTTTTTATTTTTACTATAAAAAAGATGTTGCTGGCTGCTTTATCGGAAACGCATCTTGCGATGGAAGGTTTTAGCGGATGTACGTGGCGCTGTTTCGAATTGCGCGGAGGTAGCGGTCGCTACAACTAGATGTTAGTTTGGATCGCTACGCGGCGCTATAATATTTCAATGTCCACGAATCGATCAAATTTTCATTTGCAAAGAAAACTAATTGACAGGATTAAATCGTGAACTTTTTAAATTGCGTCGTTAGAATTAAATTCCAAGCTTTTCTTCTACGTCTCCTTTGACTTGTAAAACGCATGCAAAGACATACGAATTCTGTTTAACAGATCGAAGCGCGCGCTCTCGAATAACATTTAATTTCCCGCCAATTACGTTCGAGATTTGAATTAAAATTGCTCGTCGACATAGAAATAAATACAGTAAATTTCATGTAGAAATTTGAATCACTGCACCTATACAGAATTAATACGAACCGCGCGAATTAATGAATTATGCTACGGTGAATTAATTTGCTAACCTTCTTTGCACAATAAATATGTTTTGAAAGGAATTCACCTGAATTTCGTAAATTAGGAAGCCACGGTGCCTATCTGCTTTAAACTTTAAAACGGGAGGGGGGGAGAGGGGGGAAACATCTTTGAAATCGATTTTTCACGATAATGTTTGCGACGTACACACATAGTACAAATATCGGGGTATTGTCGCGCGTGGTCGATGAAGAAGCGATTTGTAATGATTCCGAGGAGACTTGTATAGCGTTAATATCCCCTCAGGTGACAAACGAGGGAATGACGCTGCGGGACGTCCGGCGTCCCGATGCCACACGACAAATTATCTCACCTCCGGTCTCCGTACCGTGAAAAATCGCCAATATCGTGACGAAGCGTTACCGCGCGAAAACCTACCGCTCTATTGGGATAATTAAGCGTTTCTCTAGTTCAAACGATAGGTATATCTCGCTATATAAGCGTCTTGCAACAATAAATATTAACTCGCGCAGTTATCGAGGTTGTTAAAATTTTGAAGCTGTCACTCGGTATTTGACAATTAATGTACAATAATATGGCACTGGTGTGCAGTTATGGAGGATGTTTGAAACAAATTCGTGGCAAACTTCAGGAGCGTGTAAAATTAATGGTTTTTGGATAATTAATGTTTGTTAAGGTTTTTTTTGGTGAACACTAGCATCAATTTTTTTAAACATCCTGTATAATAAAATAATATATATATATATATTATATATATTATATAATTATTATAAAATTATGCTCTTTACTAATAAATAATAAATGTATAATAAATTGATTGGACTGGATGGTTACAGGCTTATTAACGTAAATGCTCGATCGGAGAAAATTGTCCTTTGAAAATGTTCATTTTTACTTGCCACGATTCGGCAAGTGTTTCGAACTGTGCTTTAAAAATATATTTTTTAAAAAATGCCTGTTGCAGGGAACGTTGCAGTTGTTTGTTGTATGACTTTTATTTTGTCCGAGAATGCGGTGCTATTCGAGCATAGTTGGTACTGGATGGTACTATAGAGCAATAGGAGACACAATACTAGTATGCCATTAATTATTTCGTAGCATTCCCACTACGAATCGAAGAAACAAGTTCTGCATTATTTGAGAACAACAGTTGAAAGTTTCATTTCGTTCGATAAATCATGTCTCGGATATCGTTTGTCCACCATTGATGCGTTTACTTTTTCATTGCTTATTTATCGCACAAAGTATAGCGGAGCGTATCTTGAAATATTTTACATCATCGTGATGTTGTATATGTTATGAAAAGATACATGAAACTCCGCCCTCCGGAAAAACACCGCCTCCTTCCCCCGACGACATGCGCCCTCGTCGTTACAACCCTCTTTCTCACCTGTAATCGCTTGCATAATCTGTTTGGAGTAGCGAACACCTAATTTCAACTTATCCTCCTTCATGTCGGCATTCTTCGGCAAAGTGCGGGAAATCGTATCGTCGCTGCCACTCGTGAAGTTGTTCTCCTCTCTTAGCAGAAGTCACGAAGAGAAATTTTGTAATGTCCGGTAAGAGTCGAATTAAAACGTGCGATTAAAACGTATACATTTTTTCGTTTTCTTCTTTTATTAAGTGAACAACAATTTTGAATTGCTCTACCGATGCGAGAAAACGTTTAACGCTGTGTGTTTCTTTTTTTTTTTTGATTTCTTTGTTGAACAAACAGCGTGCAGCGTGGTGCAAGACGTGCCTTTAGATTTGAGCTGTCGCAGCTCCGAGAGGAGAACGAGTTTGTTGAATTCCTCGAGGTTTCAGAGATACTTGCCTTGTCAGACGTGCGGGAAAAATTTCGACCGACCTTCCCTGCTCAAAAGGCATTTACGCACTCATACAGGTCAGTACTTTTATGAATTGTGAACGCGATTGAGATTAATTTTTTTCGTCAAATTTGAGTGATTATACTATTTCGCCCTACTTGGACGAAGAATTTCTTTCAATTTTATTATGGATTTATTATCAAAGACAAGGTTGAAAATACTTTAGAAAATAGGCGGACTTTATCGAGCAACAAAGAAGGATGATAAATTATGCGTGTTTAATAGGTGAAAAGCCGCATGGTTGCGCCGTGTGTGGAAAAATGTTCAGTACAAGCAGCTCCTTGAATACACACGTTAGAATACACACTGGAGAACGACCGCACGAGTGTCCAGTTTGTGGAAAGCGTTTCACTGCTTCGTCAAATTTGTATTATCATCGAATGACACATTACAAGGTTTCGACAATTGCGTTTCTTTAACTTTTTTACTTTTCTTCGTAAATCCGTGTCATAAGGTCATAACGTGAGGATGTTCAAATTATGTAAATTTATTAACCAATGTTTGATTTACTAATTAAATAATATTTGATTTACTAATTTATTAATTAACTAATATTTAATTTACTAATTTGCCAATTTACTGATATCTGATTTAGTAATTTACTAGTTAACTAATATTTAATTTACCAATTTACTAATATTTAATTTGCTAATTTACTAATATTTATTAATATTTAATTTGTCGATTTACTAATTTATTAATTTGCCAATTCACCAATTTACTAATATTTAATTTAGAAATTTACTAATTAACTAATATTTAATTTACCAATTTACTAATATTTAATTTGCTAATTTACTAATTTATTAATATTTAATTTGCCAATTTGCTAATTTACTAATATTTAATTTGCTAATTTACTAATTTACTAATATTTAATTTGCTAATTTCCTAATTTACTAATATTTAATTTGCTCATAACAAATACTTAATTTATTAATAAACTAATGTTTAATTTACTAATTTGCCAATTTACTGATATTTAATTTACTAATTAACTATTATTTAATTTACCAATTTACTAATATTTAATTTGCTAATTTACTAATTTACTAATATTTAATTTGCCAATTTTTTAATTTACTAATATTCAATTTGCTAATTTACTATTATTTAATTTACCAATTTACTAATATTTAATTTGCTAATTTACTAATTTACTAATATTTAATTTGCCAATTTTCTAATTTACTAATATTCAATTTGCTAATTTACTAATTTACTAATATTTAATTTGCTAACTTACTAATATTTAATTTGCGAATTTACCAATTTACTAATATTTAATTTACTTATAACAAATACTTAATTTACTAATAAACTAATGTTTAATTTACTAATTTACGAATTCACTGATATTTAATTTGCTGATGAACAATGCTGATGATAAAATATAATCTGCAGGAGAAGCCGCATAAATGCAACGAATGCGGCCGTTCCTTTCCGACCCCTGGTGATTTGAGGGCCCATGGATATTCTCACAGTGGTAACTGGCCGATGCGATGCCCGATTTGCAATCGCGGATTCTGCAAGCCTGGAGCTCTGCATCATCACATGCAAGTGCACACTGGTAATTGATATTAATTAATTAAATATCAGGGGTGTACAATAATCTTCGACAGATCTTCGACACTTTGCGATTGATTAGAAGATACAAGCGATTGCTTATTTTTAAAAGCAACGATTCTCCACTTTGTTCTATTATCGACGAATGCGCGAGTTGATTTTCTCCAAGTCGAAAAAATAGAGAAACTCGCTATGATTTCTATCGATGTCTGAAGAATAAGCAAAACAAATTTATCCCATCAAATGATCATTCTATACAAAAATGAAGCAAAAGAGGAATTACTGATTTTTCAGGAAATCGAGGGTATCGTTGCAACATATGCAAAAAGCAATTCGCTGTGATGAGTAATTTACGAGTGCACGAGCGTTCCCACGATCTCGATGCGGTGTCAATGCGAAATACCGCCGACTCCTCGAACACGGCAAACAAGACGCTGATAAATCCATTTACATTCGACGAAGCGAATAGAAATCATTTGCAACTCTCCGGAATTTATTCCTGGACCTCTTGGATACCTGTGCATTATCCCAAGTGATGAAAAGTAATAAAAAGGCCGCGATAAGGACGAAGGTTAATTATTTATATTTAGCGAATAGTGATAAAATCATGAATACAGGCTGCAAGCAAATCTTATCTGCGTATTAATTGTAACGAGCATGTCTACGTGTGTCTAAAGTATAATAAAGGCTGCAAGCAAATAAATATGAGCAACAGTATAATAAATACATCGCCCAACGTGACGATTCTCTGTGAAGAAATGTAACTATGATACTAAAAAGCTGTAGAATAAAATTTATCGACTCGAGGCTACGTTTTCGAGAGAATCGAGTTTGAAGAACAGTTATTGAGAGGTATGACCGAATTTGGTGAATTCTAGACATGATAGAAAAGACAAAATAAGTATGAAATGTAGAATAAGATTTTTTTTTTCACTTGAAGCTTCGCTCTCGAGAAAGTTTCTCTACTACATTTTATGCTCCATTTTTTTATTCATGTTCCAACGTGTAATAATCCTCTATTGATTATTCTTTAGCATAAACTTTTAACCACTTTTAACTACAGTCTAATTAGAATAATAATGGAAAGGAAACGTGTCCTTGGCAAAGGAATACCACATTCGTTACTAATACAAAATTTATTTCTCCACATACAGTTTCTCGCAGGCACGACTCGCGCGAGTGAGCGTGAAAAAAGAAAAAAAAAAAAAAAAGAAACGAAGAGAGATTAGAAACTCTCGCGCAAACAACGATTAAACTAGAAGGCGTATGTTGTACGAGTTGTCCCCGCTGTTCGAGTAGCGAGCTTTGTAGTCGAGAATCGGTTCGTTTTGCAACTTGATTTCCCTGGGCGTCGGCACGTACTCCAATTCGACCAGCACCAATTGGTTCTGGCCTGTTCTCAAATAAGGCGCAGGAACGTAGAGAGTCATCTGGGGGCCAGCCAGCGGCCAATAACGGCCCAAATTTCGTCCGTTAACGAAAGCGACTCCTTTGCCCCAACCAACGGTGTTCAAGTAGGTGTCTAACGGTTGACCGGAAATGACAAAGTCGCCTCGAAGCACGACCGGGCCGTCGTAGAGTGTTCCGTTTGCAGATGGAGAAGCGGACTCGGTGAGAAGAGGATCGACAGTGTCTAAGCGGAATCCGGTCATTTTCCACGGGCCAGGCAGGCGAGCGTTGTTTAAAAATACCTCCGTGACACCCTATAGAAGAGCATCGAACGAATTTATTGTTCATCTTTTGGTTTACAAAGCTGTGTCAATATATGTGTTATTGAATTATTAAAATATAAATTAATATGTCAATATATGTATTATTAAATTATTAAAATATAAATTAATATGTATGTTATTAAATATAAATATTATTAATTATTTATATAAATATAAATTAATATAAAATAAATATGCTACAATAAAATATATTTATATAAATATAAATTAATATAAAATAAATATGCTACAATAAAATATATTTATATAAATATAGATTAATATAAAATAAATATAGTACAATAAAATATATTTATACAAGTATAAATTAATATAAAATAAATATAGTACAATAAAATATATTTATACAAGTATAAATTAATATAAAATAAATATAGTACAATAAAATATATTTATATAAGTATAAATTAATATAAAATAAGTACAGTATAATAAAATATATTTATATAAGTATAAATTAATATAAAATAAATACAGTACAATAAAATATATTTATATAAGTATAAATTAATATAAAATAAATATAGTATAATAAAATATATTTATGTAATTATATATTTATATTAATATATTTATATTTATATAAATAATTATTAATATTTATATTTAATAACATACACATTAATTTATATTTCAATAATTTAATAATATTTATATAAAATATATTTATATAAGTATAAATTAATATAAAATATAGTATTATAAAATATATTTATATAAATATAAATTAATATAAATTAAATATATATAAAACATTAAAGAAATAGACTGACCTTGTAGTCGCGAAGTCCACTCCCGTAGTTCAATCTTCCTTGATTCTCGACTAGTAGCTTCAACTTTTGCCCGTAAGGCTTCTCTATGCTAACATCGTAGATGTTATGGCTACGACTCACAGTTCCAATCAGGTGGTCGTCCACGTAGACTAACGCTCTGTCCCGGGCCATTGCGTGCAAGTTCGCGGAATCTGAGTAGCTAGGTGCTAGATCAGTCTCGTACAGCACCAGCCAGTGAGGTAAATTCAGTTCCTCGAACGTCAATGGTTTCGATCCCTCGACGACCACCGTTTCGAACAATTGTCGGCCACGGGGCTCGAACAGTCTCACGACCGGTGTGAGAACAACCGGGCCGTAGTCTCCTTTTGGAGACACCGTTGGCACGGACACGTTTGGCAATGGTAAATACTGTAAAAATTGATCAAATTTTTTGACTGTTGAATCGTTGGAAGAAAAACCACATACATGAAGATCCTTCGAATACGTACTTTAGACACGATATTCTTGATCTCGAAGTATTTCGGCGTTAGATCGCCAGCCTCGGTTAACGGAGCGTCATAATCGTAAGAGGTCAATTGTGGACTGTACGAACCCTCGCCGCCGTTGGCACCTGCACAATCATGCGTAATTAACGTGATAATAAAAATTCGTATAATGGAATCAACGCAAGCTATGAATAGAAAATCGACGTTTCGTCGGGAAAACTTTTCTGTCACAGTGACACCTTAGACTAATTTTGTGAAATTATATACATAACATTTTATCATTTTTATATATATTTATATAATATTATGATATTTTTATTATAATATTTTTTATAATAACATTATTATTATTATAAATTTTATTTTATAATATTATACGATACATTATATTTTATAACTTTTCATTTACAATTACAATATTTCATACGATCGATCGTATAATAGCAATGTTATAAAATTAAATAATAATAATAAAATTAATTATAAAACAAAATTTTTATAAAATTAATTATAATAATAAAATTAATTATAAAACAAAATTTTTATAAAATTAATTATAATAATAAAATTATAAGAGCAAATTAGCTGTAATAACGAAATTATGAAGTTAAATTGTAAAATTTTAGAAAGATTCGTCAGATTTTACTAACCAGCGGTATAGGCGAAATTTGTGCCGCCGTAGAACATGTACATGTTGACAGATGCGCCCAAAGACAGCATGTCATCCAAGGTTTTCACAACTGCTGCAGTTTGCACTCTTTGAAATGGTTCCTGCCAGTGTGACAGCCATCCGGGATAAAACTCGGAGTTTACTAAGGGGCCCTGAAGCGAAACGAAATTCACCATCATTTAATTTCATCCTCTAAGGAGTCTTCTAAAAAGACAAACAGAAATCGTTTATCGATTCGAATGGTTCAGCGGTTTCACCATTTTCAAATTGTATTTCATGACCAAATGAACAACTTTATTCTGCCGTTTCGAATACTCGCGTGTTACTTGCAGATTTCTTAATTATTACGATCTTACGTGATGCGACGCGATGTAGCCTTGAAGAAGAACGCGCGCATCTTTATTGCGTTGCATGTATTCGCAGTTTCTAATAACGTTTTGTTTAGAGTGCTTCGCGAGAATTGTAAAATTAGTGATTTTATTTTATAATAATATTATATTAATGTTAAATTATTATAATAATATTATAATATAATTATAAATGTATGTATAATAATATAATAATATTATTATAAATATAATATAATTACAAATATATTTATAACAATATTATAATATAATATAATATTATAATAATGTTAAATGTATTATTATAATATTATATAATATTAATAATAAATCTATTATTATGTAAATTATATTAATATTAAATGTATTATTATAACATTATATAATATAAATATAATAATATAATTATAAATATATTTATAATAATAATATAATATAATATTATATTAATGTCAAATGTATTATTATAATATTATAATATAATATATTATATTAATATTAAATGTCTTGTTACAATAATAAATTTAATCATTATGCATCATTGTATCATTTACATGCATCTAAAAGTATAGAATTCAACGTTTCAAACAAAACACCTGCTACCATTATATAATTACAATGTATAATCGATTTCATCTTGAAATTTTTTTTTCGATCATCGTGGTCGAATACGATCGTGTTCACGATCGGTCATTAACAATACTCGATTCTGAATTACGAGTCTAATCGATGCACCTGATTACTGTTTCGATAATCAACCGATCCGAGATACGTCTTCTGTTTTCTTGACCTCTAATTGATCACACTCACTCGTGGCTGATACAGCCGCATTATTTCAAAGTTCTTCGTCACGTTCGTGTTCGTTCCAAAGTCGATGGTGGCGTAAACCTCCGGCACGAATCCGCAACGTAGCAGGTTCGCGCCTGATCCATCGGTCGTGTACAAAAGCGCCCTCGAACCGATTTTCTGTTTCATTGTGTCTCGCAGCCAACTCGTGTACTGTATGTCGCACCCGTAACTTCCGTACTCGTTTTCCACCTGGAGCACGTCGTTGAAATTTCAACCATTGCCATCGTGATTATTTCGTTCTTAACAATTGCGAGTGCATTTTATTATAAATGTTAGTTACATTTTATTATAAATAATAATATTTCTATTATAAATAATAGTTATTAGTAATATTACATTTTATTATAAATAATTATTAGTAATTATTTTAGCAAGCATTTTATTATAAATGTTAGTTATATTTTATTATAAATAATAATATTATTTCTATTATAAATAATAGTTATTAGTAATATTACATTTTATTATAAATAATTATTAGTAATTATTTTAG